AACACCTGTGTTATATTTACTGAGCCACAACACACCTGTGTTAGCATCATTTACTGAGGACCACAACACCTGTGTTATGTTTGCACTGAGGACCACAACTTGCCTGTGTTGTTTGCTGAGAACTGCTTACCTGTGTTATGTTTACTGAGACCACAGCACTAATGTTGTTTACTGGACACAACACCTGTGTTATATGTTAACTAGGAACCCACAACACCTGTGTTATGTTTTGAGATCACAAAGCCTGTGTTATGTTAACTGAGAGACCACAACACCTGTGTTGTTTACTGAGACCACAACACCTGTGTTATGTTTGCACCAAGGGACCACAACACCTGAAATTTGTTTACTGAGAGACCACAACACCTGTGTTATGTTAACTGAGAGACCGCTTACCTGTGTTGTTTACTGAGACCACAACACCAGTGTTATGTTAACTGAGGACCACAACACCTGTGCTTGTTTACTGAGAGACCACAACACCTGTGTTGTTTACTGAGAGACCACAACTTACCTGTGTTTTACTGAGAACCACAACACCTGTGTTGTTTACTGAGAACCACAACACCTGTGTTATGTTAACTGAGGGAATTACAACACCTGTGTTATGTTGGCAAGGACCCACAACACCTGTGTTGTTTACTGAAACCTGGCTACCTGTGTTATGTTAACTGAGGACCACAACACCTGTGTTATGTTAACTGAGACCCACAACACCAGTGTTACATGTTTGCTGAGGACCACTAACACCTGTGTTGTTTACTGAGAGACCACAACACCTGTGTTATGTTAACTGAGAGACCCACAAGCACCAGTGTTATGTTAGCTGAGGACCACAACACCTGTATTTGTTTGCTGAGACCACAACACCAGTGTTATATTTAACTGAGGACCACAACACCTGTGTTGTTTACTGAGACCACAACACCTGTGTTATGTTTGCTGAGACCACAACACCTGTGTTATGTTTACTGAGACCACAACACCTGTGTTATGTTTTACTGAGGACCACAACACCTGTGTTATGTTTACTGAGGACCACAACACCTGTTATGTTTACTGTGGACCACAACACCTGTATTTATGTTTACTAGGGACCACAACACCTGTTATGTTTACTGGGGTCCACAACACCTGTGTTATATGTTTACTGAGGACCACAACACCTGTGTTGTTTACTGAGAGACCACAACACCTGTGTTATGTTAACTGAGGACCACAACACCTGTATTTGTTTACTGAGACCACAACACCTGTGTTGCATAGCACAGGAGACCACAACACCTGTGTTTGTTTACTGAGAGACCACAACACCTGTTTTTGTTTACTGAGACCACAACACCTGTGTTGTTTACTGAGACCACAACACCTGTGTTATGTTAACTGAGAGACCACAACACCTGTTGTTTTACACAGGGAGACCACAACACCTGTGTTATGTTAACTGAGGACCACAACACCTGTATTTGTTTACTGAGAGACCAGCACCTGTGTTATGTTAACTACAAGGACCACAACACCTGTGTTATGTTATTGGCGGACCTAACACCTGTGTTGTTTACTGAGACCACAACACCAGTGTATGTTTACTGAGACCACAACACCTGTATTTATGTTTACTGAGAGACACAACACCTGTGTTATGTTTTACTGAGAGACCACAACACCTGTGTTATGTTTACTGAGAGACCACAACACCTGTGTCATGTTTACTGAGGACCACAACTTTACCTGTGTTATGTTTACTGAGAGACCACATCACCTGTGTTATGTTTTGCACAAGGGACCACAACACCTGTGTGTGTTTACACAGGGACCACAACACACATGTGTTATGTTTGCTGAGGACCTAGCTTACCTGTGTTGTATGTTTTGCTAGGACCACAACACCTGTGTTATGTTTACTGTGGACCACAACACCTGTGTTATGTTTGCTGTGGACACAACACCTGTGTTATGTTTACTGAGGACCACAACACCTGTGTTATGTTTACTGAGGACCACAACACCTGTGTTATGTTTGCTGAGGACCACAACACCTGTGTTATGTTTACTGAGACCCACAACACCTGTTAGCATGTTTACTGAGGACCACAACACCTGTGTTATGTTTGCACAAGGAGTCCCACAACACCTGTGTTTATGTTTACTGGGGACCACAACACCTGTGTTATGTTTACTGAGACCACAACACCTGTGTTATGTTTTACTGAGACCACAACACCTGTGTTATGTTTACTGAGACCTACTTACCTGTGTTATGTTTACTGAGGTCCACAACACCTGTGTTATGTTTACTGAGACCACAACACCTGTGTTATGTTTACTGAGACCACAACACACACTGTGTTATGTTTACAAGGGACCACAACACCCTGTGTTAAGTTTACTGAGGAACACACAACAGCTGTGTTATGAATGTTTTTGTAGGACCACAACACCTGTGTTATGTTTACTGAGAGCCACAACACCTGTGTTATGTTTTACTGGGACCACAACACCTGTGTTATGTTTACTGAGGACCACAACACCTGTGTTAAGTTTACTGAGAGACCACAACACCTGTGTTAAGTTTACTGAGACCACAACACCTGTGTTATGAATGTTTACTGAGAGACCACAACACCTGTGTTATGTTTGCACTGGGGACCTAACACCTGTGTTATGTTTACTGGGGAGACCACAACACCTGTGTTATGAATGTTTACTGAGGACCACAACACCTGTGTTATGTTTTACTGGGACCCACAACACCTGTGTTATGTTTACTGAGGACACAACACCTGTGTTATGTTTACTGAGGACCACAACACCTGTGTTAAGTTTACTGAGACCACAACACCTGTGTTATGAATGTTTTACTGAGACCACAACACATGTGTTATGTTTACTGGGGACCACAACACATGTTGTTTTACTGAGACCACAACAGCTGTGTTATGAATGTTTACTGAGGACCACAACACCTGTGTTGTTTGCATGGATCTAACACCTGTGTTACATGTTTACTGGTCCTAACACCTGTGTTATATTTACTGAGGTCCCTGCACATGTGTTATGTTTACTGTAGCCACAACACCTGTGTTATGTTTGCTGTGGATCACAACACCTGTGTTATGTTTTACTGAGAGACCACAACACCTGTGTTGTTTACTGAGAGACCACAACACCAGTGTTATGTTTACTGAGACCACAACACCTGTGTTATGTTTACTGAACCACAACACCTGTGTGTATTTTACTGAGAGACCACAACACCTGTGTTATGTTTACTTTGAGGACCACAACACCTGTGTCATGTTTTACTGAGGATACAACACCTGTGTTATGTTTACTGAGGACCACATCACCTGTGTTATGTTTGCACGAGGGACACAACACCTGTGTTATGCACTGAGGACCACAACACCTGTATTATGTTTGCTGGGGACCACAACACCTGTGTTATGTTTACTGAGGACCACACAACACCTGTGTTGCCATTTTACTGTGGACCACAACACCTGTGTTGTTATATTTACTGTGAGACCACAACACCTGTGTTATATTTTACTGAGACCCTAACACTGTCTGTTATGTTTACTGAGACCTAACACCTGTGTTATGTTTTACTGAGACCCACAACACCTGTATTTATGTTTACTGGGGACCACAACACCTGTGTTATGTTTTACTGAGGACACAACACCTGTGTTATGTTTGCATAATGAATCACAACACCTGTATGTTTACTGAGACCACAACACCTGTGTTATGTTTTACTAGGACCCACAACACCTGTGTTGTATTTGCTGAGGTCCCTAACACCTGTAGTTATGTTTACTAGGGACCCCACGGCACTGTGTTATGTTTACTGAGGACCACAACACCTGTGTTATGTTTACTGAGACCCCACTTACCTGTGTTATGTTTACTGAGGGACCACAACACCTGTGTTATGTTTACTGAGGTCCACAACACCTGTGTTATGTTTACTGAGGACCACAACACCTGTGTTATGTTTACTGAGGACCACAACACTGTGTTGTGTTTACTGAGGACCACAACTACCTGTGTTAAGTTTACTGAGGACCCACAGCAGCTGTGTTATGAATGTTTTACTTAGGACCACAGCACCTGTGTTATGTTTGCTGAGGACCACAACACCCACATGTTATGTTTACTGAGGACCACAACACCTGTGTTATGTTTACTGAGGACCACAACACCTGTGTTAGGGTTGCTGGACACAATCCTGTGTTAAGTTTACTGAGGACCACAACACCTGTGTTATGAATGTTTATTGAGGACCACAACACCTGTGTTATGTTTACTGAGGACCACAACACCTGTGTTATGTTTACTGAGGACCACAACACCTGTGTTATGTTTACTGAGGACCACAACACCTGTGTTATGTTTACTGAGGACCACAACACCTGTCTTATGTTTACTGAGGACCACAACACCTGTCTTATGTTTACTGAGGACCACAACACCTGTCTTATGTTTACTGAGGACCACAACACCTGTCTTATGTTTACTGAGGACCACAACACCTGTCTTATGTTTACTGAGGACCACAACACCTGTCTTATGTTTACTGAGGACCACAACACCTGTCTTATGAATGTTTACTTTAGGGACCACAGCACCTGTGTTATGTTTACTGTGGATCCTAGCTTACCTGTGTTATGTTTACTGAGGGTCTAACACCTGTGTTATGTTTACTGAGGTCCACAACATGTGTTATGTTTACTGTGGACCACAACACCTGTGTTATGTTTACTGTGGATCACAACACCTGTGTTATGTTTACTGAGGTCCACAACACCTGTGTTATGTTTACTGAGGTCCACAACACCTGTGTTATGTTTACTGAGGACCACAACACCTGTGTTATGTTTACTGAGGACCACAACACCTGTGTTATGTTTACTGTGGATCACAACACCTGTGTTATGTTTACTGAGGACCACAACACCTGTGTTATGTTTACTGAGGACCACAACACCTGTGTTATGTTTACTGTGGATCACAACACCTGTGTTATGTTTACTGTGGATCACAACACCTGTGTTATGTTTACTGAGGTCCACAACATGTGTTATGTTTACTGAGGACCACAACACCTGTGTTATGTTTACTGTGGATCACAACACCTGTGTTATGTTTACTGTGGACCACAACACCTGTGTTATGTTAACTGAGGTTCACAACACCTGTGTTATGTTAACTGAGGTCCACAACACCTATTATGAATGTTTACTGAGGACCACAACCCTAATGTGTGTGTCTACTGTCATAAGAGAGAAATGTTGGAGGTGTAGAGAAAGGTCAAAACTAATATCCTGTATTGAGTATTATGATGGATCTGTTTATTGTTATTCATACCATTTTCTTAGCTACTTAATACAATAGCTAGCTACTTTCCTTATGACCATGCTTGTATTCTACAACAAAATACCTTTGAAATCCGACGAATTTATTTGTTATTCAGAAAAGTTCCAGTATGCAGTTCTGAAATGTTGATGCACATTTTCCCTGAACATAAATTTGGTGTTTTTTTCCACTGTTAAGCCAAGATTCCATTCACGCATTAGCGCCAAAAATAGACCACATTGAAATATATATGGTTGTTTCCATTGGTACGGTTGCTTTAGCATTATGTGTTTGCAGTACATGCCAATCGCTCCTTGTAGCGATTGAAAATGCAAACGCGTGAATGGAATCCAAGCTTTACACAGAATGCCTCGTGTAGCCTCACCATCATCCCCATCACTTGTATTGCCAGGGTTATTAATATTCGCTTCTGCATCGTATTGCTGTAACGCTTATTTTGTATTCTCATTAGTAAGGCCCTTGTGACAGACACCCTCCCTCTGCCATGACAGTTGGAGTATAAGGCTCTTGGTGTGCCTGAGTGGGCCTGGCCAGCTGTAGCTACACTTGTTTCACAAACATCTACCTAACAGGTCATAGTGACCACAGGAACCGTAGATATTAGTAATGGGAAAGTTGAAACCATTGCCACAGAAAATTCAACTGCTACATTGCAGTGGTCACCAAGAATGCAACATTTAGAATGTTGAAATTTGTTGAAAAGTTTTTACTTACTGTACTCGAGGGAAGTAATTTTGCATAAATGACTTTAACCAATTGTTATTTGGCCTTAGTACAGTATAGTACTTAGCTATAACAATAACTAACTGCATTAATGGCCTCCCAAGATCAGAAGTGTGTCATACTGTCCTGTGCTCCAAGTAATTATTAATTGATATTCATAATACTACTGTACTAGCTACTGTACATTTCATTTTAGTTGTTGGTGATGTTGACTGTATGAATACTGTTTTTTCAGATTGAAGAATGACATAAAATTCCAAAGTAAGAAATTTTAGTCAAGATGTCAGTTCGCAGTGGGCGTGTGGTCAAGACAGTGAGGACTCTCACGAGACCAACACATGAAGCAGCCTGTGCTTACACCACCTATAACTGTACAATGGTATGTGTCTTGACAGCTTACCTGTAACAAATACTACATTGATTTTTGTTTTTCATTACCATTATTTCCTTTATCTTATCTGCCCTCTATGATAATCATTATATAGTTGTTTTATTCACTGCCCATCTACCTTTTACTTCTTGTGCCTCAAACAGGTTCTTATTATCTTTACTCTATAGTTGCACTCCATATATGTCCTCTTTTCTGGTTCATTTATTATCTCTCTACATTCCCAGTGGTTATGTCTCCTGTAATAGTGCGTATCATCTTTTATATATTTCATTATGGTATCCTACTTTGAGAATGTTCCTTATCTGCTTCTAATTCCCCCTTATTGGGTCCTGGTTGCTACATCCCACCTGCCTTAATATACACTTTCCTGGACCAGACCCAAAAGCTTCAGCACCTCCTTCTGCCTGGGATGATTCTCACTTATTTTGTTTACATCATATTCAAGCTTTCACTCTTACAGTAGCTACCTTCATATTTAAAAGGCATTGTGTATTTAGTAGCTGTGCAGCTGGCTAGGTGTACTAAAGAGAAATGTGGACTGCCTCCTTCCTATCTAAATAAAATGAAATATCAAAGTTTCTTAAATTTTCTTGTCATTAATTGTACAAGTATTTGGTATCATAATGTTTCCGAGACATATGTACATGCTCCTTCCTTCTCCTAAATGAAAATACTGTATATCAATACTTTTTATTATTCTGTTTTCTCTTATTGTGTTTAGTGTCGAGTATTATTTCAGAGATGAGAATTTTTAGATTGTGTTTATATAAGCTTTGGGTAGAGCTCCCTTTTAACTTGGCTTATATATAAATAAGCTAAGGGGTTAAGTTACAAACCCAAATGGTCTTTCTTCATTTATTGGTAAACTAAAATGGTCTCTGTATTAGTAAATGCACCATAATTAACACTGTAAGCTGTGAGTGTTAGTTAAGGGCAGGGCTCAGCTTGACTGAGTTAAGTCACCCGTCCGATTCTCATGAGGCTCAAGTGAAGACTGGTGCTCCTGGGGGGAGGCTGGGCTGACCCTACATTCTCAAGGTCGGCCTACTGATAGAGGAATTTCCCCTCACGTGAACAGCACATGGCAACTCACAGCTTATGGAAAATTACTTTGGGGTGATTGTATTATATAAACTAAATGTATTAACCCAAATTTATATAATTGTTATTGCCATGAGACGGGCTAATACATGTTTGTTTGGTGTACTTTCTACAGACGAGACTGGATGGATTTGAGTATTGCAGCCGACATATTCTTGAGGACAAGGGAGCACCATTTCGTCAGTGTAACTACATATACACAAGTACAGGGAAGAGATGTCTGCGGCCAGCACCAACCAGTGACAGAAAAGAAGGGTGAGTCAGTTTGATTTAAGAGTAATGTTAATGAATGTATACACCGGCAGAATGTGTGTGTGTGTACGTACTTCATTCCTCTATGGAGTTCTTGTGTGAGGGAATGATCACAACAGACACCTGCAAGGTTTCTTTTGTGTCTCTGTGCCACGTGTCCCTGTATTATATCTAGTAAATATTGACACAAAGCAGAGTCAGTGTATGTCCCTGTACACCCACCCAGGCACCATGATATTTCACCGAAGTTTTACAGTTATTTTACCATGCTTGCCTGGGTTAGCATACCTACTTATATACTCGTGTGTGGGTAATGAGAAGCTCTTTGAGGTGGTTTGATGGGACCTGAGCGAAGGACACAGGATGAGAGGATAGTAAAAGGAGTAATCTAGCAGGTACTGTACATTGGATAGAGGGAGACTGCCATCATGGCAGGGAAAGTGGAAAGGTAAAATGAGGAGAGAACAGGAAAAGGGAATGGAAAGAGCAGAAGGGGATAAATAGTGGTTTGGGAGCTGGGTGACTCTTCTGTGGCTGTGTATTGCCATCAGGAGGAGGATCCTTACACTTTTCTGGCTCTACAATAGTTGCCATATTCTTTACTCAGTTATAATATGAGATTTCTGAATCAATCCTCCATATACTAAAGCATGAACACTGAAATAGACAGAAAAAACCCAACTTGAATGGATTTAAGGAACGTGAAATTACATGTCCAGCAGGTACTGTGGTGAACACTCCAGGCGGTCTCTGGTGTTGAGACAGAGAGCAGCGCGTAGGCGTCGATCTCGTGAAACTCCAGAAACCCTCCTGAATCAGCTGAGTCACCATCAGATGGACACACAAACTGCTGGCCAAAATGGTAAATAAAATGCTGGTTATATTTGTTAGTCTTAATTACTTTGTGTAATAAAGTACAGTACAGATACAGGAAGACTCCACTAAATGAATGGGTAATGTTCCTGAGGAAACGTTCTTTCGGTGGATATCCGTTATGTGGACAATATTCTCCCATTGAAATGCATGTACGTACTGTAGTGTATTTAGGGAAGATGCGTTCCTGGCCTAGAAATTGGAACATTAAGAAACACATTTTACTTTGAATAATATAGATACCAACAATTAAAACAGTTCACTGTAGCTTTAATGATGATCCAGCAATGAATTCTTCCCTGAGGCAGCTGGTGATGATGCTTACAGTGCTGTTCTCATGTTATGGTGAGTGTCAGAAGTAATGTTTTTAACAGCATCCAATGTTTGTCTGCCTCTCTATACTTGAAAGTTGTCACTCACACATCACTTTTACTGTTCTTCCCCGAGACATGAGAAAAACAGGGAGTTTGTGTGGGGGTCACTTTATCATTCTCTTCATCATCATTTCAGAGAAACAGGCACCTAATATTAGTTTTTCAAGTTTGGTTATAGTAATTTGTTTTGTTAAAAAGCTTCTGTCAGCAACAGAACAGTCATACATGTTAGTTTACATAGAATCTTGAGTCATTGTCATCACTTTCATCGTGTGTTCCTCCCTGAGGCTGGAGGGAAATGGAGACTAGTGTAGGGGTTACTGAAGCAAAGGGGCAGGATCATCACACTTGTCACTATCTTCATCGCTCGTCATCAAATCAGGGTCTGAAAACTTTTCCAATTTCAATCGAGCCTTGACCACTCTCATGCCTCTTAACCGCTTGTGTACACTGCTGAATAAAATCATCTGATGTTAGCCAAATAAGATATTAAAAGTGGCGTCCCTCTAGTGAAGGGGTTAATAATATTCAGCTTCTGCTCTAAACTCAAGACCTTGTGATCTTTTTTTAAATGCCTGGATGCCACTGGGTCCAGAGCAAGAATGTATCATTTTCACTCAGGCTTATTCATACATGATTCACTATTCATAATTCACTTCTGAACAGGCGAGAGATATGCTCGTGACAGAGGCAAAATTCAGGTGGGCTTCCACCTTCAGAGTTGGTAGCCACAATAGCATTACTGGATGGGCTCGTGGTGGAATCATTTGTATTATGTATTTTCTTCGGGTCCTTGGAATCCTACACCTCTCTAAAGTTCTTAAGTTCTTCGCTCCCTTGTTCAACTAAATGAGTTCTACATTCCATAAGATTTCCTGCAGTACTCACAGGCTGACTGTACTATTTTCTGTTACCTTCTGGCAGTGACACTGTCTGTCAGTCAAGCAATATTAATCAACATTGATGTAGCATAATATTTATTGGTTGTCTTAAGGTCAGGTCACATTATTTTATACAAAGGCCTGTCATGGGTCTATCAAAACTCAGTTCCCCATTCTGATGTTTTTCATTGTCCTGTATGTGTCCTTTCAAAAAAGTGCATACTGTATATGAGAAAATGTACAAGTGTGTGTAAATGAGAGTTGTAGTTTTGAATTCCTTAGTTACCCCATTTTATATAAACACTCGTGAAACCTTCCTGGCTCAGATCACATATGTAGACTTTTTTGGAGGGGGGCTATAATAACAGTTGGCATAAACACTGCTGTAGCTGCTTCATCTTGCACATTCTACACTCAATGTTAGGAAAGGAATAAAAACAATAGAATAGACTGGAATCATTGCATATTAAGAGTGTGGTTGATGATTTTCAATTTCAGTAAAAGACAAATATTAAACATGATAATAGGCCTTGTTAGACTCAGAAATTCGTCAGTCCGTACAAGATGTAGTTTCCTTTCTGTGACTTTAGAGATTGAACTGAAATTTGGTTTGCAGTTTTTTATATCGGTCATCCATATGTTGAGCTTATTGAATAGTATTTCCAGTGTTTGAGAGAAAGATTTTGGCAGGGTCAGACATAACCTTCAGTTAGTGTCTATTTGTCCAGTGCGATTTATTCTTTGCTTAATTAGCCTCAATTTACATGGCAATTCAGATTATTTCATTATTAGCCACACTTAATTTTGCAGGTGTGTAGATGATGGGTAACCCAACTGTTTGGTGACGATTCTGCTTGTGCCTCTCTTCCTAAAAGGTAAACTGGAGAGGATTTTCATGATTCAACTCAGTAGTGTTCTTGGAAACTACCTCAAGGCAAAGTTAGACTATGTGTACAAGAGGGGATTTAAGGGTACTTGTTTCCTTCTTACTTTTCTTATAAGTTAGTTCTTGGTGGGAAGTCACTGTGCTAGTCTCACAGACACTACTCTAGGATTGTGCAACATTTTAAATTATAATTCGTCATACAGAAGTTAAAAATTTGTTTTTGTAGATGGCTAAAATACTTAACTGGGAAGCATAATGTTAAAAATATTCATTTGTTCAAGAGACTATAAACAATGTCGATGTACCAGTTGCTGCAAACAGTATGCTGACGTTTGTATATAACATTCATTTTATGTATCCTTTTAATGACAGATAATTTTGTGTTAAACCCTTTACTGGGGGACTCTGCATTTAATATATTATATTTGGCTAACACCAGACGATTTTACTCAGCACCGAGATATCCTCCGTACACAAGGGATTAATAAACTATTTCCAGTAACCCCTTCACTGTGAGACTCCTAAACCTCTGTATCGACACGTTAAAGTAATTTAATTGAATAAAAGAAACATAAAGTAGTGTACAGGTGTGAAAATGAGATCTCCCAGCAATGTCAGGTGGGATATGAAGAATCTCTAACAGCTTGTGTGTGTGTTTGCAATAATAATAATGATTATTAACGGTTTATTGAAAACGTTCTGTAGCCCGCAGGCTGAAAATATACATTAGACAAAAATGACTTATTACATACAAAGGCATGGGGTAGGTGTGTGTGTGTGTGCTGAAAAGTCTTACCGGGACCTCATTTTAGGTTTGAAGTCTGCATGCATTGTGGCCAGTTGGGGCAGTGGTTAACGGCTGCCTCTCATGCTAATTTATGAAACTCTTTGGTACTGTGGGAAGAGTCCTGCTGGTGCCACGTGACAGTTGACAAGGTAGCTACAAGACCAGCTCCCTTTTGACTATTGAGAAAACTACCAGATTCTTAGTTAACTTGTATGTTAATGAAGTGACCCACTCCCCGTCGTACTGTGTTTATTGCATATATTCAGCCTTTGTGCTCCTATGTTCTTCAAACTCACACAACTCTTGACCTAGTTCATCTCCACTCTCAATACCCAGCTGCCCTCTTAAGTGTCTGTCACAGTACTCATCTATTCAACCATTCTCATTTCAGTTTGCTCAAGCTTATGCATGTCATCCTCTTTAACTGCCCATGTTACATTGCCATACAACATCCATTTCTCCAGCCAATGTTTTAAGAAAGATTTAGTTTTGTTTAAAGCTGTACAAGAAGAGCTCGATTTCAGTCATGACATGAAATGCTATTAAATTGAAAATTTTCTATAAAATTTCACTTGCCATACTTTATTAAGTCACACATTACTAATAGGATGTAAATGTAAGCCTTATTTTGCAGTGTGTATTTATAAGCTTATATACATACACTGATATTTATATAAGCATCCCACCCACATATTTCTGCAGGTGCTTCAGCAGTATTTCTATTAATTTCCTCCATCAGCTGAGTAAATTTCTTTTTTCCTCTCTTACAGGCCTTTTACCCACTGTAATGCAGAGTACCTGGAGTCAAGAGCATCATACAGTACTCCCCTATTCACTCTCTTTACATCTTTTCTTGTAGCCGTATCAGATGTGTTGTGCTGTGGTGTTCCCCTTCCACAACACAGATTCATGAGTCTAATCAGATTTATCCTTGTTACTTTTACATCACCCGAGGAACACATCCATCCTTGTCGTACATACACTGCTGCCCTCTTGGATGCCTCTCTCTCTTACCAAATTGTTCTTGCTACCCAGGTATCCAATGTGTCATTTATAGATGTGAATATTAGAAAATAGGTTTTTTGAATTAGAACATTTTGGGTTTTCAGCAATTCCTGACCCGGCAAGTGTGACAGGCGTGGCTTCAGCATCGCTCGAGTATGCAAGTGATACAGACAGTGAGGAAGAGATAACCACCTTGCCCCATGACACTCTGCCACGTCGTGAGGCTGATAGTGAATTAGATTCGGCTGATTCTGATGCTGATCCCCTTGAACACTCGCAAGTTTTTACTACGGAGGAAATAACAAGAATATATCTGGAGAAGTTGAAGAGATTAAAGGTGAATGTCATCATAAATGTATGTGTAGTTGTTTAAAGTCTTGTCTTACGTGTCATCTGGCATAAAAATTCTGTATTTCCCTAATTGATATCTTGAACCACTGTCTAAATCGGTCCAAGAGATTTATTTTTGTATTTTTTTTAATATACTTATACAGTATTTGGAGTTGTTTTATAAAAGAGGCATTAAAGTATACAAGCCAGGTGATCTTACTGACTGTAGAAGACATACCCATAGCAAAGAAACACCTTTTTTTTTTCTTTTTTTTTTAAATGAGAAGGTCAAGCATGGCTGGGAAGGAGCTGTTCACTCAGCAATTTCACCACCATTTGCAGAGCCTGACAATTTGGTTCTGTTATGGGCCTCTAGTAATCAGAAGTCTTTAGTTCACCTGTGTTTATGAATTGAGAGTTAGTCCTCATATCCCTGAAATTTGTGGCTTAGTGAATTTTAGGTCATTGTCTCTGAACTTAACCTAACCCCATTTTCAGTATAGATGCAATTAATATACATTACATGTGGTGTGTACAGTCCATGGGATGTATAGTGACATGATCGGGTGGGTGGGGGGGACTGCAAAAGTTCTGTAGGGTTCTTTATATGCCACACTGAAAAACTTGATCATGTTTCCAGGTTGTTTGATAAAGGTTCTCTACCCCAGCACACACACACTCTCTTTCTCTCTCTCTGTCTCATATCATTTATCTATCTTATGGCCAGTGGGGGGGGGATATGTGTGTGTTGCAAGTTAAACTCCATTTTTGTTTTTCTTTTCCAGTCCATGTATATTGGAGAGTACAAGAGACTTGCCCATATCTTGCGAGAGGGCAGAAGAAAGTATCTCCAGAGTGTGCGACAAGAGAAAGAAACCATGGGTAAGGCCTTTATATATCAAACCCTTCCATAGGTCTTGAAATTGTCCCAAAGCTTTCTGGTTTATTGGATTTCTAAGGGTTGTTGTTTCATATTGGTTGGCCTTGTTGCTTTCAGAGTACAGTGCTGGATGCATTTATAATTAGTTCAACCTTAATAGGGGACCTGAGTACCGGTTGATGCTGTGGGGAGCTTCAGATGTTTACCTTTACTCCTTACTCTTGAACTAACTTGAGATGGGCTATGTTAGATTGCTTCCATTCAGGGGTTCAAGCTGAGCATAGCTGTTGGAGCATATTGTCTTGGTAATTCCCACCTCCTTGTTGATACTTTTAGTTTATGGAGTTGCTTGAGCCACGCTGAATAATTCTTAATATTGGTGGGTAAATTTATAGAATCACATAAGGAGGTAGCTATTTGAAATACCATTGGCCAACTTATTGATCTGGGTATAAATTAACTTTGCTATCACAATTTCACATAGTATGCAAGAATTAGAATACAATACAGTCCACTATTATGAACCAGGTTTTAAAGAAATTATTTGTTAAACCCAACAGTGAGTATCCATGCTCAGCCTAAAACCACACCAGAGGAGAGAGCAGCATACGACCAGCTTCGGGCCATGAGTCGGTACCACAAGCACTTGGGGACGCATTCACTCTTATACCGGCAGCAGCTGGAACGTCGCCTCCAGGTGTGTACAGTATTGCCCCGCTTTACACGTTTTCACTTTCCGCGATTTCTGATTTCTCATTTACCATTTACGCGGTACCTTGCCAGAACCGGACTTTCACTTTCCACGGTGCATCTACTCATATACGCGGTGAAGTATAATTTTTTTTTTATTTAGCTCATAAAATTCATACAAATTACCCGTCCAGAATATAATTTACATTGCTGGAATTCTTACAATATGATGATCATTTTGAATATAAACATCATGGATTTTGCATTAGACATACAAATTTTAGATCTATTGTAATAATTTGGTTTACACAAAGCAAATATTTTATCTTTTGTGCAAAATATATGAAGTTTGCATTCAAAATATTCCCTGACCTGCAAGGAATACAGAAATGTCAATTATATTATCCTAACTTTAGTCTGAGGTATTATTTATTACTAAAAGTTAAAATCTAGTTTTTTCACCCAACATTTCTCTGGTAGGGAGGGAAGGTTGGGGGGGGAGGGTTGGGACCAACCGACCCAGCTGGCGTGAGTGTGAGGAGGGGGGGAGGCAAGGTGGGGTACTTTGATTGACAGATAGTGTCGTGAAGAATATTTTTTTTTTTATTAACGGAAGATATTTGTTTTAGCTCATAAAATTCATACAAATTACTCGACCAGAATATAATTTACATTGCTGGAATTCTTACAATATGATGATCATTTTGAATATAAACATCATGGATTTTGCATTAGACATACAAATTTTAGATCTAATGTAATAATTTGGTTTGCACAAAGCAAATATTTTATCTTTTGTGCAAAATATATGAAGTTTACATTCAAAATATTCCCTGACCTGCAAGGAATCCAGAAATGTCAATTATATTATCCTAACTTTAGTCTGAGGTATTATTTATTACTAAAAGTTAAAATCTAGTGTTCTCACCCAATCATTTCTCAGAGAGGTAGGAGCTGGGAAGAGGGGGGGGGGGATTTGAGTCCATTATTTGAATGGACATAAACCTGGCGACTGTATTTCTCTTAAATATTAATTGTGTGAGCATACTATCATAAAATTTAGATGTTATTTTTACTACAACATAGGTATTGTGTCGGAAAAAGTGGAGTTTGGGGGTCGGGCCAGTCTCTATTGGAATTAATCCCATATGTTCTGTTGTTCGCTTTCCGCAGTACCCTGTGGGTTCAATTGACCTCGTAAATCTAAATCGGGGTAATACTGTATTCTTTATACATTAAAGTCTATTGGGAAGTAGCTATTAGATAAGTACTGACTAGCATTCTACATGGAGGGTCTTCTAAGATTAGATTCCCCCCAGGCATTTCCTCTGATGGTTTGATAAACATGGACAACTTTGATAAAACTACACATTCCTGCCTAAAATGTTGGTGCTGAATTTCCTTCTTTTTTTTCCCCACCCTGTAAGAGCATGTTAGCTGAAACCTTTCCTGAGAAATCTGTGTAATTATTATATTTTTTGTACAAGGTAACTGAGGGAGTGAACTACAAGCCTGGTCCAAGTGTTGGCTGCGTAAAATGTGTGTATAGTGAAGGATCGTGGCGCTGCGGAGAAAAATCTGTTCCTCTCTCCAAATATTGCTCAAAACATATTTTACATGTAAGTACGATAGTACTGTCGGTCATTTTGTTTGGGTTGTATCTGAATTTATTTTTTAGCTTAAGTTAGATTTTTAATAATTTGTATGGTGAGTTTGCATCTTCTGTACTCAGATTATAGGTTACCACTTATGCAACAATAGTCACTAGACATGTTTTTCTTGTGACAAACTTGTACTGTAACTGAATGTGCCTTGTATTGACTCATTTCTTGTCAACAGGATCCTAATCAGGTGTTGTTTGGAGCATGTGGTGTGAGCAGGTGTGGTGATGATCAGTGCTCCATGCCAGTTATGTGTCTACCTTACACAACCACCTGCATCTACCATACTCCCATACCAGATCCTATTGTAAGTAGTGCTTTGTTAAAATCTGAATCCCATGTTTGATTTTTGTTTTACATCTGTTGTGCTAATAAAAGGAAGTACAGTATCTTTATATTGCCAGTAATATACTATTCTACATGGATTTAGCAATGCACCTACCTTCTAATTGAACCTGTTGAGCCCAGCTGTCTTATAAAGTACGGAGTCGATATATTTGACTTTTAACTCGTCAAATTTCTTTTTACTTTACCAGCCTGTTAGTTCACCACTCCTTGAAGACATAGAGAACAATGCAATAGACCTAAGTGCAGAGGAGCTGAGTATTCAGAGCTCTACTAGCCAGCTGCCTCCTCCTGGACCCCAAGAGATCATTGACCTCTCAGAAAGTCATAGCTTCATTGTTTCTGAAGTGCCACCTGAAAATGTCATGGAGGGAGATGGTGAGGAAACAGACGAAGCACTTTCTTCAGAGACTAAATCATGAAGACGTGGTGTAGAAGGCTTTTACCATAGGTCTAAATCTTTCAATATGCCAAGAGCTACACACCACATATATAAATTATTAATGAATTTTTGGGTGGAAACAAACTATAGAAACATTGTGAGGTTATAAAGCTGAAGTGTGGTACAGTATATCCATTCTTATGCAAGTGTTAATTTTAGTTTACCCTTTGAAACGCTAGCATAATAAGGTATGGGTAGGTAATCTATCTATCAGTTTGTTTTCTGAGTGCCTCTATACTATTTCTTATATGAAGCAACATCACTATAAGATATTTTGGTGAAAACTTGCCTTGAGTACAGTATATAGCATTGATGAAGTGCCAACCTCAAATCTGTGTCAGGGTCAAATATAATAGGGAGTATATTATGTGTTGCAGTACAAGTAATCATCTTTTAGTATGGATAATTATATGGGTGAAGTAACATTAATATCTCTGAGGTGAAATTAGTGGTACCCATTATCATACCTCCCAGATAACACATAAACACACAAAATTTTAATGAGAACAAAAATGTGAGGAATTAGATATAAATTACTTGACCTGAAAATTTTTACAGTGCAGTATACTGTATCATGTGACTCTTCAATATGAAAGTTTGTTTGACAACCTCTTGTTGCCATTTAAGATTTATGTGAGTTACGACAACGAAATACTGTACTTATATACAATATATTTTTTAACAAGTACAATAGTCAATATTCACAAATGATAATAGATTTTGTCAAAATTATATATTTTATTCTTTAAACTTACCTATGAATTTAACATTATACACAGAGTAATGTGATCTCATTCACAAAGAATTTAGCATTTATATTTTGCAGTTAACAGCCCAAAGAAAATTATTAAAAGTATAAGTATTTTTCCCAAGCAAGTAAATCCAAGATAAATTTTGCTTTATCTGAGTTTATAAGAAATTTAATTTTTTATAATCTTATCTAAATACTGTGCATTACATTTAAGATGTACTGAATGAATCTCGGTGTGACATCGGGGATACCAGTTTTTGTCAATTGAAGTTGTATATATTGAAGTTCTTTTTCTGATTTGTGATAACTTTTTTTCTTTGCTGGTAATATGCCAGATGAACAGTGTGTTTTCTGGAGACTCCAAGTCTTTAATGTTTTGTTATACCTTTATCATTATCACCACCCTCATCACCCGGGACTCATTAATACTGTTGCTTCCTGGATGTCCGTCTCCTTTGCTTCTGGAGAATCATTCAGCCATCACTCCTTGTTCCCTCCCCCTCTGTCATCTACCTTTGAGTTGTAAACTTTATTTTTTCTATTAATCCATGCCACATAGCCCATCACCTCGTTCATTTCCTTATTTCTGCATTTCTAGTTTTCTCCGTCCTATTCACCCCACATATCTTCAAACATGTCCTGTGTACTGTATATCTTTTATCCTTGCATCCAGAGTCTTTGCTTCACATATTAAATCCTTAACATTAACATCATCTTTAGCATTTTATCTCATGCACTAAGTGCAGAAGAGCTTATGACACCCCTGGTGTTAATGCATCATTGGAAACTATTTTAAGTTTTAGTTCCTATGTGTGTATATGCAGGTGAGTTGTTACCTTTTGGTAGTGCTCATTATTATGTAGCACATTTGATGTTGTTTATGAAACATTTTGCTGATAAAGAAGGCAGTGTATTAGTACCAAATAAAATTATATTATAAACTACAGTCTCTCTATGACATGCCATGAATCAAGCAAAATTTTTTTTTATTATTGGAATATTATACTGGTGATAAATATGTAACTTTCATAATTTTGCGTGAAGTTTCCTACATATTGGTATTAACCAAAGGATTCAATTTTAAAGTAATCAGATTTCTTATCTACCGTTAGACTGATCATTATTTTTTCAAGTAACAACACCTCAGTTTTTAAAAATCAATTATCATGAGTAAGTTCTGTTTGGAATTCATTTACTATATAATACTACAGTATAGTAAATCCTCAACAACTTAAAAGAGTTTAAGTTGGAAGGGATAAGGTACATTCATCATCAGCATTGTGAAGCCAACAAAAGGATGAAAACCTTAGGTAAAGTTTTAAGGCTCTCAGTTGACTGGTAATTGTGTGCTAGCTTTTGTTACTCCGTCTCTTAATTTACTTTAATATCCAGGTTCTAGGCGTAACCAAACATAAAAAGTGAAGTAAATTAAAAGGGAATAAAAATAAATAAAGTAAACCTTTAAAAATTTAATTAAATATTAACACAATAAAGAGCCTCGTAGGCTGTCACAACCAATTGATTCACTATCGAAATTTTTAAGACAAATGATACTACAACATCGAAACATCAAAAGAATAAAAATAAAGCATTGGATTACGTTACCGCATAAACATATAAAAACTAACACTGAAATTAACTAACTTGAAACAACACTGAATTACTTAAATGTAACTAAGCAAGCACTGATGGACACATGAGAGACATAAATAGGTACTCAAATAAATATACGACATTGGTGGTGACAGGAACAATCACAGAAATAAAATGAAGTATAACTAACAGGTGACAGGTGTCACTCAAAAGAACGTGAACTGAATGACAAGGAGGACTGGACTCCGGCAGTTGGTGGACCACTATATATAGGGCCAATTCCCGCCAAAAACCCGCCGGTGGGTCATTTAACGATGCAGATGGTCGTTAGAGAGAAAGAATGCTTGTTACAATACTAAATGAAGAAATAAGATGGGCTAGAACAAATAATAACAGTTAAAACCTTAACAGCACAGGGTAAGGTGACTAGATTATATAATAGTAAATATAACACATCATTACAGGAATAATATGGAAGACCATGGAAGCATGTTATATAAAAAAAAAATAGGAAAATACAGCACAGTCATAACACTTTCCATAGGCAATTAGTCACTAGAAACAAAGTTCTATGAAAACGTGGTGTGATGATATATTGTACAACCCCACTGATGCTTAGGCATATAATACAGCTCTGTGTGGCCCAAGAGGTTGGTGTAGTGCAGATACAGCCTGGCGTCAGACTTGGAGTAGTCTCTCTAGCCTTTTCCTGGGACAGTGTCTTAGTTACTGCTGAATTGTGGCTCTCTGGCCTTAAGAACAGAAATTTTAGTGCCTCAGGAGACCCCTTCAAGGTTTTAAAGGGTCATTTAACCCACTCCACCCTCTGGTTCTTATCATACTGAAATGCCTCTTCCTCATACACTACTATATGGTGACATGGCCATCAGGCAGTGGTGTGTCATGAAGATATTTGAAGGGAAGCATTGTAATCAGTTGCCCTCTAGAGCTGAAGAATGAATAAGGAAGCATATTGGCAGAAATAAACAAACATGTGATTATGTGGTCTAAATAGAGACATAACAAGAGGAATATTCATTTCTCCAGCATGAGAGACAAGTACAAAACCCCACTCAAAAGAATTATACTGTAGATATAATTAGTACAATAACTGACACGGTTTTAGTCAGAATATCAAGGGGGAGAGATACTTTAAATTTGGGGATATCTGATGGTGGGGAGGGTGTTGGTTGTGATTGTGGGGAGGGGTGTTGGTTGTGATTGGGGGGAGGGTTGGTTGAGATTGTGGAGGGAGGGGTTGGTTGAGATTGTGGGGAGGGGTGTTGGTTGAGGAGGTGTTGGTTGTGATTGAGGGGGGTGTTGGTTGTGATTGTGGGGAGGGGGTTGGTTGGTTGGGGAGGGGGTGTTGGTTGAGATTGTGAGGAGGGGGTTGGTTGGGGGGGGGGTTGGTTGAGATCAGGAGGGGGTTGGTTTGAGATTGTGGGGAGGGGGTGGGGAGGGTGTTGAGTTGGTGAGATTGTGGGGAGGGGGGTGTTGGTTGTGATTGTAGTGGAGGGGTGTTGGTTGTGATTGTGGGGAGGGGGTGTTGGTTGTGATTGTGGGAGAGGGTGATTGTGGGGGAGTGGGTGTGATGGGTGTATTGTGATTGTGGGAGGTGTTGGTTGGATTGTGTTGTGATTGTGGGGAGTGTTGCGGACAGTGATTGTGGGGAGGGGTGTGGTTGGTTGTGATTGTGGGGAGAGGGTGATTGGGGTGATTGTGCCGTGAGGGGGTGTTGGTGTGATTGTGGGGAGGGGGTGTTGGTTGTGATTGTGGGGAGGGGTGTTGGTTGTGATTGTGGGGAGGGGGTGTTGGATTTGTTGTGATTGTGGGGAGGGGTGTTGGTTGTGATTGTGGGGAGGGGGGTGCTTGGTTTGAAGTGCGGAGGGGGGTGTTGTTGTGAGTTGGGTGGATTGTGGGGTGATTGGGGGGGTGTTGGTTGTGATTGTGGGGAGGGTGTTGGTTGGGTGATTGTGTGTGGGACCGTGGGGAGAGGGTGATGGTTGTGGATTGTGGGGGGGGGTGTTGGTTGTGATTGTGTTGAGGGGGTGTTGATTGGGGAGGATGTTGGTTGAGATTGTGGGAAGGGTGATTGTGTTGTGATTGTGGGAGGGGTGTTGGTTGTGATTGTGGGGAGGGGGGTGTTGGTTGTGATTGTGATTGTGGGGAGGGGTGAGGTTGTGTGATTGTGGGAGGGGTGTTGGTTGTGATTGTGGGGAGGTGTTGGTTGTGATTGCGGAGGGGTGTTGATTGTGGGAGGGGGTTGGTTGAGATTGTGGGGAGGGGTGTTGATGTGGGGAGGGGGTGTGTGATTGTGTGGTTGTGATTGTGGGGAGGGGTGTTGGGATTGGTGATTGATTGTGGGGAGGGGTGTTGGTTGTGATTGTTGTGATTGTGGGGAGGGTGTTGGTTGAGATTGTGGGGAGGGGTGTTGGTTGTGATTGTGGGGAGGGGGGTGTGTGTGGTGTTGGTTGTGATTGTGGGGAGGGGGTGTTGGTTGTGATTGTGGGGAGGGGTGTTGGTTGTGATTGTGGGGAGAGGGGTGATGGTTGTGATTGTGGGGAGGGGTGTTGGTTGGATTGTGTTGAGGGTGTTGGTTGTGATTGTGATTGATTGGGAGGAGGGTGAGGGATGTTGCGAGGGGGGTGTTGGTTGTGATGTGGGGAGGGGGTGTTTGGTGTGGGGGAGTGATTGTGGGAGGGGTTGGTTGTGATTGTGGGGAGGGTGTTGGGATTGTTTGGTGTGATTGTGGGGAGGGGTGTTGGTTGTGATTGGGGAGGGGTGTTGGTGTGTGGGAGGGGGGTGTTGGTTGTGATGTGTGTGGGAGGGGTGTTGGTTGTGATTGTGGGGAGGGGGTTGTGACAGATTGTGGGGAGGGGGTGAGTTGGGATTGTGGGGGAGAGGGGGTGACAGATTGTGGGGAGGGGTGTTGGTTGTGATTGTGGAGGGGTGTTGTTGTGATTGTGGGAGGGATGTTGGTGTTGGTTGTGATCAGGGGAGGGGGGGTGACAGATTGTGGGGAGGGGTTGGTTGTGATTGTGGGAGAGGGGTGATGGTTGATTGTGTGTTGGTTGTGATTGTGGGGAGGGGGGGTTGTGATTGTGGGGAGGGGGTTGGTGATTGTGGGGAGGGTGTGGTGATTGTTGTGAGATGTGATTGGGGAGGGTGGTTGTGATTGTGGGGAGGGGTGTTGGTTGTGATTGTGGGGAGGGGGGTGGGGAGTGATTGTGGGGAGTTGATTGTTGATGGTTGTGATTGTGGGAGGGGTGTTGATTGTGTTGAGGGGGTGTTGGTTGTGATTGTGGGGAGGGATTGAGTGGGTGTTGGAGATTGTGTGTTGGTGATTGTGAGGGGGGATTGTTGGTTGGTGTGATTGTGGGGGTGTTTTTGTGATTGTGAGGGGGTGTTGGTGTGATTGTGGGGGTGAAAGTTTGATTGTGGGGAGGGATGAAGTGGTTGATTGTGGGGGGTGATTGTGGGGAGGGGTGTTTGGGTGATGTTGAGGGGTGTTGGTTGGATTGGGGATGTTTGGATTTGGTTGGGGGAGGGGGTGTGGTTGTGTGTGTTGAGAACAGTGTGATTGTGGGGAGGGGGGGTGTTGGTTGTGATTACAGGGAGGGGGTGTTGGTTGTGATTGTGGGAAGGGGGTGTTGGTGATTGCAGGAGAGGGTGTTTTGCAGGAGGGGGTGTTGATTGTGATTGGGGAGGGGGTGTTATTTGATTGTGGGGGAGGGGTTGGTTGTTGGAGGAGGTGTTGGGAGATTGTGGGGATGGTTGGTGTGGTGTGGGGGAGGGATTGTGGGGAGAGGTGATGAGGGGGAGTGTTGGTGTGATTTGATTGGTTGTGATTGTGGGAAGATTGGGGAGGGGGGTGTTGGTTGTGATTAGGGAAGGGTGTTGGCGATTGTGGGGAGGGGGTGTTGGCTTGTGATTGTGGGAGGGGTGTTGATTGTGGAGGGGGTGTTGGTTGTGTGGGGAGGATGTTGGTTGTGATTGCAGGGAGGGGGTGTTGGTTGTGATTGTGGGGGAGGGGTGTTGGTTGTGATTGTGGGGAGGGTGTTGTGATTGTGGGGAGGGATGTTGGTTGAGATTGTGGGGATTTGTGATTGTGAGGGGTGTGGGGAGGGGTGTTGGTTGTGATTGTGAGGGGTGATTGGTTGTGATTGTGGGGAGGAGGGTGAGTGGGGGTTGTGATTGTGGGGGGGATGTTGGTTGAGATTGTGGGAGGGGGGTGGTTGTGATTGTGGGGATTGTTGTGGGGAGGGGGTTGGTTTGTAGATTGTGGGAAGGGGGGTGTGGATTGTGGGGAGGGGGTGTTGGTTGAGATTGTGGGGAGGGGATGTTGGTTGTGATTGTGGGGAGGGGGGTGATGGTGAGAGAAGCTGAACACCAACAACATTAGAAAACAAATTTCAGTACAGCACAGCAGGAACAAAACAATGACAGCAGATGCAGTAAGCAGGCAGGGAGGAGGGACTAACTTTAGCCAACATAACCTTGACTACCAGAGCAGAGCTGAATCAGTAAACCTGTATGTCTATCTTGGGTTACGTCACCTGAGAGAATTTATAGAATAAGCAAAATGAGACACTGATCATAATTAGGGATGAGGAGATAATAACAAATACTAATGGACAAAGATGAGGGGAGGAGGGCCAGGGGAAGGCAGAGACCGGGATGGATGAATGAAATAAACTAAGTCCCCCAGAGGCCAGAGAGATACAAAACCTTAGAAGATTCGTAAAAACAACCCGGGAACGTTTAGAGTGGAGGACTGTGGTCTCCACCCCTAAGATCTGGGGACGGTTCTCTGACTAACTGGGACGGAATCAGGTCACAGTTTTCAGCGATACCCAGTTAAAGAATTTCAAGACAAGAGCTTTGATGAAACTGAAGCAGTACAACTTCCCCGTGCTTATTAGCTAACATTCGAGAGATAACTGTAGAAGCATTGGGCAGATCAAGATATCTTGGAGTTTGAGAGCTCGTAGCATACTATATGCAGCATTAGCCCGCCCGATTCATTACAGTACTGATAATTTTCCAACAACTGAATGAAGAATTTAGATATACAGGATACAGCAAAGACTAGACCAGAATAAACCTATTGCTGTAAAAAAATAAGGCAGGCAGAATGTTATCTGTTACCGCCACAGTAGGATAAACTACCTGTAGAAGGGAGAGAGAAAGGGAGACAGGAGATGTTTTTTTAGTTTAACAAATTTATTGACAAAGCTTGGAGTACAGTTTGCCTATACTGAGTAATTCAGTCAGGTCTTGATACTGAAGGTGGTATGACTTCTCACTGTCATGCAGGACAGAGGTTCATACACAAAGAAATACATCATATTCATTAACAGTATATATAGGTCATATTCATGTGGGTGATGTCACTGTTCACTGCCATGCAGGACAGAGGTTCATACACAAAAAAATGCATCATATTCAATAGCAGTATATTTAGGTCAGAGTCATGTAGGTGATGTCACTGTTTGCTGCCATGCAAGACAGTGGTTCATATACATTGGACGTCATATTCTAATTGAAGACTAATCAGTGTGGGCTAGCCAATTTGGGATAAACAGCAAGAATGTCCCCAAGCACCCCCGATTCAATATAGTAATTACAAAGTTCATGATACAATAAGCCAGGTGGCCTGAAGTCTTTGACAGTATCACTGTCACATTCAATAATATAGTGTTCAAGTGTATGCTTTAAAGGTTTATCACAAAGTTTACATGCTGAGTGTTCTGGTATGGGTACAGCGTTACTAACTTGCCAGATGTGTCTGTATCCTAGCCTAATTCTGGCCACGACTACATCACATTGTCTGGTTCTGTCCTTTTGCTGGCCACACTGGTACCTCTTGTCACAAAATTTGTCATATTTACTAATGCTACAACTGCCAGGTCTCTCTGCATTTATCAGTTCTTCTAGATCACTGTTCATGATTCTGACTTGAATGTTTTTAAGTACAGCATTGGACAGGCCAAGGTCACGGTCAACATTTTCTTTCTTACATGCCTCCTTGGCCCTTAATGCACGAGTCATAAAGGCAAGCATGAACTCCGCATGCTTCCCAGATGGGCGCTGTAAACGCTTCTGTGCTTCACCTTGCACAGGATGGAAGGGGGTTCCCAATAAACTAGCCCCCTCGCGGGCAATCTAAAACAAAGCAAAAAATCATTGGCCAGTCTATCAGACAGGAGAGAGACAGAGGGAGTGTTGACAACGAACTTTGCTGAGGTGATAAATATGAAACAGATGGGCCTCGCCTCGGGCTGACTAGCTCGACTAGTCTATAGCCGTCCGGTGAGTTATCAAGTCAGGGAGCTAATAAGTCCTACATTAGACCCGAAACACGTAAGCTTTTATATTGTTTAACACCCACTCTACTCAAATATATTATATGTAGTCGTTAATAGTGAAGGAACGTACGAGTGAATTAATTATCTCATACGTAACATATGTAATTTGTACTCCGCAGGTTTTGACCGAATAAAGAACAATCGAGTCCTACGTGCAAGGGTCTAATTATCCCACAGTCGCTCATTGGGCGGTTACATTATCTAAGGAATAAGTTTCTAATTAGTCTATTACTGTTTTATGTTTGGTAATAATATATTGTAGTGGATTCCTCCCCTACAAACTCCGTTTGTTGCTGACTGGCCGACCCCCGCGAATCTACCGGCGTATCCCTCGTGGTCAAGGTCAGGTAACCAGCGACGCCGAACAAAGCCACGCCTACCTCCGCTATATAAGACCTGACCTCGTGGTGACCTAGGACTCTTTTCTACCTTCACCAACCAGCAAGCAACACCTCCTCCTCCTCCTGCCTGGCGGCCCTCGCTCCCGCCAGCGACCATGGCGACCCACAAGCTAGTCCCCTGAGCACCCTCACCAACCAGCTCTCTCTACTCAACGCTTGTAACCATGCTGCCTTCCCAGCACCAAGCTGCATTGTACATCCAATACAATATGTATACAGAGAGCACATTGTGAGTTTCCTTTCTCCATCCCATCCTGAGTGTGAACCAAACATCTCGTACCCCACAATACTTCCGGCAACAAAACGACTGACATTCTTACACTCAATGGGAGGGTGCAACACAGTGTCAAGGATGGTATTTAGAAGTTTTAAATGCCATCCTTGACACAAAAACAAATCGTTAATAAAATAGAGCCCTTTGTTGCTATGGTCATATTACGTAAGTCATAATCATACCGCTCGCCCTTCCGTCGCACAGAAGTTTGTTAACACTTTTACTCAAAAGTTAGCCAAATTTATATATATATATATATATATATATATATATATATATATATATATATATATATATATATATATACATATATCTTAAGATGAGTAGATGACCTGATTTATTTTTGCAGTCTTCATAATTTTTCCTCGGTTTTCTGGATTTGATATTCACATCAATGTCTTTAGTTTATGTATTTTTTCTTTTTGTGCGACTTGTAATTGAATGCTAAGAAAATTAAGAGGAAGATCTGGGAGAGAGTTAATAATATACATAAATAAACCTTATTGTATAGGGAGTGTGCTACAGAGAGGAGGAGGAGAGAGAGACACACTACACGTGACATCTCTCAACTAGTGAGAGGCTTGTATATATTGGGCATTCCAACCACAAAACTAAGCCACCGACAATTATACCTTATTCTACAGAGTTTATTTACCTTAAAGGAAAGCACATCCCGCTTTAAACACCGTAATAACGACCAAACACACCATGACCCCGATAAACAAGGGAAAACGTGCCATAAGGAAAAATACTTTGGGTTGTAAAGCGTTAAAAAATTGTTACCATTCTAAAAACAATTAAAGTGGGCGTGCTGGTGTGTGTTACCTCCTCCTGCCTCCTTCATTACCCCCACCAACAACCTCTGAAGTGACAAGAAAGTGCTCAAGTGTAAGTAATGCGTATGGCCTACCCAGAAATGGCTGGTAGTGATAAAGGCCAAGGTGAGGGGCCACACACACACACACACACTCCCTGCTGATTTACGACATGATATTACACTCAAGACATTATGTAAGTGTATTACCAAGTGAGAGTGACTGACAACCTCTACATCTTACCACACTCTGACATGAATTAAGGTCATTCAGTTAGTAGACTATTGAAGTTATTTGAAGGTAATTGATAAAGTTCCCAAATCTTCCCTATTGTCAGTGTTGCTGTGATGGAAGATTAACCCAAATGTACGATTTCTCTATCAATTAGCTGTTTTTTATCTGTTGTTATTAAGACTTTGAACTTTATATTTTATCCTTTCCGCCACTGATCGCCTCATTAGCCTCTTGGGCGGTCAGTCACGTCTCTGCAATGTACTGCTAGCAACTACTGGGCATGTACTGGCTCCTGAATGTATCTGAACATGTGCCAGTGTTGAAAGAGCTCACACTCGGTGCTGTCACAACGTTCTCCGGCAGATTGTTCCAAGAGTTCACAATTCTCGGTCGGAAAAAGTGGTAATACGTGACGACAGCGGTCCAACCTCGGCAGCTACTTGACAAGATTTCTCCTTAGAACCAAAAAGTTTTCTTACCTTGAGAAACATACAGATATGCAGGAGGATTGTATTTTGTGAGTTGCCAGTGTATCAGTTTATGACTACGAGTTGTGCGGAGGAAGACAGCCAAACACGATATTGCCACGAATGCTGTGTTTAGCCTGTAGGAATGGTTATTTTCTCAGAAGGGATGTTTATTCTACAGGTACTCCTCGACTTACGACAACCCGGACATACGACCGCCGTAGTCGTATAAAATATTTTTCAAATTACGTATTTTCTCGTACCGAAACTTTTCCGTCCCGTACGACAGCGTGGGCTGGGCCGCTCAGTTGGTGTTTGGCCGTCGTTGTTGTTAGTGATCGCGCTGTGTACTGACGAAATTTTGGTTTCTAATTCCCTTTAAAATGGCTGGCTAGCGTAAAAGTGAGAGTTTTCGTGGTGCTCATAAGAAAAGGAGACAGTCAATTGCTTTTGAGATGAAAATGAAAATAATAATGCAATATAAAAATGGAAAAACGGTAGCAACCATTTCACACGACCTTGGCTTCTCTCACTCGACGATATCAACAATTTTGAAGGACAAGGCAGAGGCATTTGCTACTATTAATGAGGGACGCAAATGTTTGAAGAAATGGATCACAATGTTAAGTGTTTTGCAAAAGTTGACAGACTGATCCAAGATGCACTTGCTTGCTACAGGGAGATTTACAATGAAAAGGAAAGGCAAACTGTGCAGTCTAAATTGGACATATATTTTAAGAAGTCCCCCACTGCTGTCTCCTCACGCCCCACTACTGCTGCCTCTTCACTCCCTAAAGATGATCCAATACCTTCAACAAGCAAGCAAGTATGTTAGCCTGTCTGAAGAAAGTGAAATTGATGACCCACCCAGCCCTGTCTTCTCCTCTGCTTCATCCAATTAATGTAGTCTCCATGTTTAATTAAAAAATTATTGAGGCCCTGTGTGCATTCAGCTGACTACATTAAAGGTAAGTGCACAGTAACACTTTATTCATTTTTCATTATTGATTACTTTTACTGTACCGTATTTAATTTTAGAATTTCTCTGTATTATTTTCGCATTTTCGATATACGACCAATTCGACTTACGACCTGGTCGTCGGGACGGAACCCTGTCGTAAGTCGAGGAGAGACTGTATTTGACAAGAATAGATAAAGAAATAACTACCAACAACTGTAACTAATACTTTAGGTTAGGTCTGGTAAGTTCATTTTCTTTATTTTTTGAATGAAGAATTACAGATTGGAAGAACATTTTGTTTTTTGTTGACTACAATGTGTTTACATGTTGGGTGCCAATGGTGCCATATTTAAAATCACTTGATATTTTTTCTTCACGGTAATTTCAGGAAAGATTTGTTCTGGTTGTCCAATTATTCCATTCACGCTGTTTGAAAGATTCTGTTGGATGAATTGTTTTTTTATTATCCTCTTTTTTTAAGTAAAAAAAAAATTAGGAAGAACAACAATTTCTGACTGACTGGAACATCAGCTGCTCTGAGAAAGGTATAATCATGGTGTGGACGGAGGGTTGAGAGCTGCTCCTCCACTGCTCACAGAAAAACGCCCAAAATCGTAAAATTGAAGTGATGCAAACACATTCCTCGTGCAATTTATTTTTTTTATTCCTCGAGAAATTTCATCAGGTAGCTGTTAAGGCCAGACCACTCTCATTAAGTATTACCAAAACAGTTTATCTTGACAATTTACTGGACCTGTGGCTTCTTTAACCTGAAGCTGTGACTGAGTAATGTCCTCTGAGGTGCTTATAAACTTCTATTAAATTACCCCTTGTCCATAGATAGTACAGTATGAACTAGGCAATTTTAGGTGTTCTAATCTCTCTGGGTGCCCAAGGTGCCAGAGTGTAGGCAACAGTCTGATGGCCCTCTTTTGAACATTCTCAATCAATTGAGTCTCTTGCCAATTTCTGGGGCCAGGCGGGGTGACAGTATACTCCAAATGGGGAAGCATTTCACTTTTGAAGAGCATTATGAGTAGCGACCTTGCCTTGCCAGTTATGAGTGTGCCTGGAAATCCTACATACAATGCCCAGTTCCCATTCTGTAGAAGTGGGTTGGTGATAGGAAGAGCGTCCAGATGTAAAACTTGCATCAAGTTTCCCTCCTCCAAAGTGGAGTTAGAAATTCGGTGGAAATAAGCGAGCACAATAATGAACCTTTTATAATTGTTGCTCAGAAAAATACATTATTGTACCCCAGAATGTCCAGATAGTGTATCATGCTGTTAAAATGTCTAGGTCTTCTGGTAATACTATAGATGGTGTTTGCCAGAGAGTGATTTAAAAGTATGGATCTCTCTGGTTATTTGTATCTTCCTTTAGGTCTTAACAGGGATATCATATTGTTTCATATTTTTAATAGTTTTTTAGACATCAGATAAAGCTTGTTCAGGTAATCACAATAGGCTTTTCAGCTGCATGATAACAAAGTTAGTGAAATTTTATAATAAAAACTCCCTTAGTGAATTAGTGTCCATAACTTCTTTTACTGATAAAATTATTTTTACAGCTTTGACACTTGGTTGGTGTGAAAAACTTGAGAATTGAGGCATTGATGTCAGTCGCTAGCAGGAGTAATGGTCTTCAGCAAGGATTTTATAGGAGCATCACATCTGCCTTCTTTACAGGTAGGTAGGTGTCTTATGCCTTATGAAAATCAAACTTTTGTGACAGAGTCCACCTGTCACACACATTTGGTGATAAAGTGTTGGAGTAAGGGTTTCCTTCAATGGCTAAAACCACAGACCTTCAGGTCCTCCTTTGAAGTACTGTACAGTAATTTTTGTATTTTGGATTAAGTTATGTCAAGAAGTGCCTCATACAAGGCACACATCACACAAGTTATTAACATATAATTCTTATGTATTAAATACGGAAATATCACAGGATCATGTACGATGGCAAAAATATTAAACAATTCAAGTGTCACATCCAGCCATTAGTGTGCTGATGACAGGTGTTAGTCAGTGTAGGAAGACAGTTGGATGGAGAGGTTGAGGAAATATTACCTAGATATTATTAAAAATCCTGTACTGTATACTGTATGTTTAGTGATAATGACTGTTTACCCTGGTAACACCATGAGTTGGCCACCCTGTGATGACCAACATCTTGACTCTAGTTTAAGATGTTTTACAGTAAACATAATCTTGTTTAGATATGTTGTACTGTTTGGTTTGATCTACCATCAGCATTGTAGATAAAACATTGAGTTAATTTTAGTAATGACAGTCTGTCAAACCTGCCACCACCATCGCTTCTTGCCTCTTGCATTAAAGATATTTTTACTATTAACATAATTCTGCTGAGGTACTGTATTCTTCAGTGATTCAGATTTTGATAATGTTTGACTTGATCTGTTGTCCTAGCACTTTATATAAAACACTGACTGACACTCACTGACACTACCACTTCTTACCCCCCCTATACAATTGTTTGTTTAATTGTGTCTGTATAATTTAAGATATTTGAGATGAAGTATTATTTTGTTCGAGTATTCTTTATTATTGTGACAGAAAACCCAGCAGTGATTTGTGGTAACACAAAAGTTTGTGAGTTAAAGTTATGTATGTGAGTGTGTTAAGACATGTGGAGACAGAAGCAAGTAGGGAGGAACCTTGGCAGAGAGCAAACGTTCTAGTCCCATTTGTCCACTGCTGAACTGTCTTAGAGTGAATTTATGCTCTGTATTAAAATAGATGGTCACAACTGACAATGTATCAGTGAAACCTTTCAAAAAATAGTGTACTGTGTAAGTTGAGGCTTTACTGTATCTAAATGCAACTTTGAGCTATTCTGGCTTTGTTAGAGGAATTTTTCTGGAAAAATGCACATTTTATTGGCAATTTTAAACAAATCGGCTCTAACATCAAGCTATGTAATTTTGTCAATAATGTGACTACAGTATTTCGTCTGTAGATTTTTAGGTTCCCAAGTTCTATACCTGTACTGTATTTGCATGAGGACATATAATAATAATAATAATAATTAACGGTTTATTGAAAAAGTTCTGCAGCCCGAAGGCTGAAAATATACATTGGGCATAAATGACTTATTACATACATTGGTGGTTTAACAAAAGCCTTCATTAGAGAAAGGTAAAGGAACATACAGTGAACATACAGATTAATGTAGGTGTTGAACAGCAAAAACGTAGTGTAGTAACTCCCTCCCAGATGGTGTTAGGAGGGACCTCACGTGGTGTAGTAGTTCCCTCACAGATGGTGTTATGAGGGGCCTCACGTGGTGTAATTCCCTCACAGATGGTGTTATGAGGGGCCTCACGTGGTGTAGTAATTCCCTCACAGATGGTGTTATGAGGGGCCTCACGTGGTGTAGTAATTCCCTCACAGATGGTGTTATGAGGGGCCTCACGTGGTGTAGTAATTCCCTCACATGAGGGGCCTCACGTGGTGTGATGGTGTTATGGGGCCTCACGTGGTGTAGTAATTCCCTCACAGATGGTGTTATGAGGGGCCTCGTGGTGTAGTAATTCCCTCACAGATGGTGTTATGAGGGGCCTCACGTGGTGTAGTAACTCCTTCACATATGGTGTTATGAGGGGCCTCACGTGGTGTAGTAATTCCCTCACAGATGGTGTTATATGAGTGAGGTGTGGTTCCAGGCCTTCCTATCGTAGACGGATTAACACATCGCTGGTAGTTGGGTCTCACGGGCCGTTATCACTGGGTACCTGGGACCTCACTGTGTGAAAGGTCAACTTGGGTACCACTGTTACTGTTGAGTTGTTCTCACTGACTTAAGCACTGTTCACCACTGTTCACCTCTGTTTAACACTGGTTCCATTTCTTTCCTAAATGAAATAGTAACTTCTGGCGTGAACTTGTTGATATTCCGGTGGGGAGGAGGGTTCAGGGGAGAGAGTTGGTATGGGCCAACATAACAGTTGACCTGGCTGCTCCGAGAGGAGCGCCAGGTACGTCTTGACCCTTCGGTGGTCAAGGATGTAGCCCCCTATGGGTTTTAAATGGACAAGGCAATCACACTTCTTGGCAAACATTAGTGTTACAATTTACTTGGTTTTTATATACAGGTATTGCATAACTGTTAATGAAAGTTTTCCTTTGTTTGTCAAGCATTTGTATGTGTTGCAAGAGAGTTAAGTGTGCAAAAATAGTGTTATAAAAGACAGGGTACAGTACAGTGCATTGTTGTCTAAAACTGCAAAATAAACTAATATATAAGATGGTTCAATGAGATTTAAGGCGAGCTAGTATGAGAAGGGTTACAGTGCTCAAGTCCTTCGGGCTAATTGGAAAAAATTCTAAGAATTACCTGAGCTCAAGTAGAGATTCCTCTTCTTACATTTCCTGCTTGACCTTACTTAAGTATCTGCTTTACATTTCTGGCCAGGAGAGTAGCTCTTGAAAGACAAGGCAGGGTACCGTTTGATAAGATTTGAAAGTTGAAGGTTGTGAGGAAAAAGAAAAATGTAGCACATTTGCTTTGAATTTAAGTTCTGTACTCAGAAAGTTTGAATTCTAATGTAATTTGTCTTGTTTCTTGCAGAATCATCATGGCATATAAACAAGATCAGCACCTTTAAAATTAAGCCTAGAGCTGGAAAGATATTTCAATGTGAAGGTAACATTAGTTTGTAAACAAAATGTTTGTTTTAATGGAACCAAGAAATACAGGTCCACAATTTATGGGTAAAGAAGAAAATTCAGAAAAATGTGATGATAGATGTGACCTTGAAAGAAATGATATGTACTGTAGTGCGAGTGATGATGCACCGTGTGATGTTGAACAAAAAGTGAATGAATTTGACAGGAAAGATGATAACCATAGAATAGACAATAATGGTATTATAGGTTACAAGGTTATAGAGAAACATGCTTCTGATCCGTGCTTGACACTGCGAATTGCTGTGCAAAAAGGAAATTCATCAGTAATTTCTGAAGATAAGAAGCCAAGTGTTGAACTTACCCAGGAAGATAATAAGCAGGATCTCTCAAAATGCTCTATAACCCCTGGATTTTGGAAGCCAGCTAAACGAAAAAAAAAGAACTTGCATGCAGGAAATCGAAAGAAGAGCTGGCGGTTAGAGTGCATGGTTCCAGGATGCTCCACGAGAGCATATTCCAGTAGGTTTGTGGACTTTCCTGATGACGTTGAGAAGAGGATTGAGTGGGCCAGACTAACAAAGGTGAATGAGAAGTTTCCAGAGGTGAGCCCCAGTGAAGCTCTACCTGCAAGGATCGGCCTGTGCATGGGTCACTTTATGGAAGAGAACTTCAATGTGTTTACTAGAGGGGATGGGAAACTGTGCAAGCTGAAAGAAGGAGTTGATCCTAGTATCTTCCCGTGGATCAAGTCATCAAACGTCACCACAGGTTTGGACATCTTTGAGAACTTGAAATATAGCCGTGAGATGAGATTGCTTAGTTTAATGAAAAGTGAATTATATCATATGATAAATCCCCCTACGAGAGGTTATGAAGAAATTATGCAGGATCCGTATAAGACAAATGAAATTTATGAAGACCAAAAGGATCCCTTAAAAACTGATACCAGAGAGGAGAGTGAAACTAAATTGCCAAGGATATGTGAGCAAACTGATCCATCGCATCTGGGACAAAATGAAGAAGAGTTGTACTGTCTTCCAAGAAGGTGTAGAACTAGAGTGCCAATTAATTATTCTGATCAAAATATTCTGGTAGAAGGGATTGAAGCTTTGCAGGATCCTTCAGAGATTATTAAAGATAAAAATATGATTTTTAACCATCCCAGAAGGTGTAGAACTAATGCAAGGTATATTTCTGAACCAGATATTATACATTTAAGTCGTGAAATTCCTCATTATCCTGTAGAAATTAAGGAAACAGATGAAGACATTCAGAATTTTCCCAGGAATAATGGTAGGCTGCCTCGTGCGTGTAAACAGAAAAGTGTTTTTGGTACTTCCGTAAAGGTTAAGCAAAAAATTGGTGATAGAAATGCAAGAGAAAGAAGTCGTGCAAAATGCAGAAAGGAGAACTTTAGAAACAGATACAAGAAGAAACTAACAGTGTTAAATTCCAGTGAAGATTGTTTGTATGATGTAAAAATTGAAAACTGTGAAGTTGAGTTGCCTGAAGTAGACTGCAGTGTTGAGGAATCCAATGCAAGTGTGTCTACAAATCAAGAACAACAAATATATGGAGATTTCAATCATTTTCTGGAACCATTGTCCAATCCTACTGTGTCTAACGAACAACCGTGTCAAGATCCCCACGCTTCTCTCAATGCTCAAATGATCGCATCATGCGTCGAAGCCGTCATGAATCCGATGATGGCCAGGTTAGAGATTTTCCAAGGAAATGTGGAAACGAGAATAGAACAACTGGAAGGGAAGGTAAACTCTCGACTTGAAAACTTAGAGGGGAGGATTAACTTATGCCTTGAGAAACTTGAATGTCTTAGCAATAATCATCATTCTAAACCATCAATACCTTCAGGTATGTGGACCACTCGATGTGATAACATGCCGGAAAACTCCACCCCCGTTGCTCTCTCAAATGGTATAACAACTCCTGTGCATCATATGGAAGTCAATCTCAAACCTTTTGCCATAAGTGAGAGAGAATATGAAATGATGGAAGGAGAAGATATACTTGAAGTAAAGGATACATATTGAGAGAGAGCATTAAGATTATTATGTGACTCATAAGAACTGTTTATGAGTGAAGGTGCTGTCGAGATGTTGAATACTTGTGCAGACTATTTAGAATACAGTACAATACAGTACTGTACAAACAAACAAGCTACCTAATATTGTAGTTGTAAGGATTTCAGATATTCATGAGTTTTTTATGTTCAAGTTTGTAGAATTTTAGTTTATGGAAATATTTTATTTTTGGAAGGACTTAACTTTTTAGTTTACTTTAATTAAATGAATTTTAGTTTGTATGCAAATGTTTTTGAATTCAGAAGAAAATTAACTGAATGGAGTTTTGCAATGGCCAGCAGAGATTTTTAATGTCATAACAGCTATTTACAAGATATATTTTGTCCTTGTGAACAGGAACAGGTGTGTGTGTCTCACTCTCAGGTTGATAGTGTGATAAGGCTGTCACTATTTCTCGTGTGGTGTGTTTATCGCTCGGACTCTCTGCTAAACTCCCGATAACTGTACAGCATTGTTTCTCATCAGTATATATAGACTATTAGCATAACCATATATATATTTTTTGAGAGAGTCAACTAATATCTCCTTCATCCATCAAAGCCAATTGTAACGTACAGTACAGTGTATTAAAATCAGCTCAGGTGGGTGAAAAGTCTTATCTTGAGGCTTTGTCTGGTAGATATGAGATTAAAGTGATGTTGACGAATACAGCACGTGGTACAGTGATATCCCCGTTAGCTGGAACAATTTGTGCAGAGCACTTCCGGGAATGAGAGATTTCCGGGTTACGGAAAAATGTTCTCGGAAGTTCCAGAAATTGCCCATTACATCATCTCTCGAACCCAGAAAAATATTCCTCATCCCCGGAATTTTCCGGGTATCGGGAAAATTTCTCAGAATTTTCCGGAAAATGTACCCCTCGGAAAATTGTTCCCAAAGCCGTAATTTTACAGAAAATTCCGGCTTTGGGAACAATTTTCCGAGAAAATTTCAATTCCGGCTGTCGGAGAGTTCCGGGTTTGAGGGATTCTGGCTAATGGAGATATTACTGTATGTCTTATAGATAAAAATAGGTTATATTGATATAAGAGAAAGTACAGTATTTTTTTCTTTATGCATTTGCACTCCATGTCATCACTGTTGTTCATGTGTACAATCAAAGACAAAAGTCGTGTCGTGGTTTTGTCCGAAGATTAAATATAACTAGTGAAACATTATGAGAGCCCCCTACCACAAGGCACAGCGCACCAAAAGCTTCATTGTACTACACTGTAACTCTCAAGCCATTTATCACATGTTTGACTTATCTGATTATTCTAGTAAAAATTGAAGCAACTGTAACATAGACTAATATTGATAGTACACTGATTCATAGCTTGTAAAACACTGGTATACAGGTTGAGCCTCGCTAGTCCAGCAAATTTTGGACCACACCGGTGCCGGACTGTTGAAAATTCCGAACCACCGAAGCTTAGGTTAAAAAAAAAAAGGGAAAAATATTGTATACAGAATACTATTGTATTTATACGACTCTTAACATACAAAGAAAGTTTATTCCCTTTTATGTTTTTGACCTTATGATAATTCAATTTCAATTCAATTTCAATAATTATTCCTTGATAGAGGAAGCTGGAACCTAGTGCTGTCACTAGGTACCCCTGTGCATGTAACTGAATAAAAGAAAATTAAGAAAGTTACGTATATCTACTTGAAATTACAAGTTGAAAAATAACCATAACACCTCACAGCTAATCATTTTGGGTTATCAGTACAATAGTTGTAAATTCAGCTTCATAATTTTTTTATAATTAATTAAAAGTAATAATAATGTGTTAAAGTAAGCAATAACCTCTTTAATTCTGGAGTTGGTTTAGGTATTATTTAGTCTACTGGAGACAGCAACTGGGGGATTCATTTGCCTATGGGAAACTACAACTTCATATACTGTATATGATGCAGGCTGATTTTTTTAGCCATTTATCAGACAAAAAGCTGACCTAGCGGCAGTTTCACAAGCCTAAGTCAAGGCCACCAGATACAAATCATGCTGAACCATCAAAGCTACTGAACTACTGTACAGAGGTTCAACCTGTATTATTTTATTGAGTGTACCATCAGATAAAGGTGGCCTACCCATGCTTGTATGGTTATCCCATTTGTGTTATAACCACAGTTTCATGTAAGGACAATAGAGCCTGGTTGTCCATGAATGCCCAGTTACTGACTATAACCCTGGTAATTTGCAGTTGACCTTCAAGAAACCAAATATCAGTTACAGTTCTCAGAAGTCTTAGAGAACAAGCACATGTCAAAAAAATAAAAGAAAGAATCAACTCAGTGTTTGTGAGCAGCAGAAGACATTATTTTAAAGGTTCTGTCATTTCCACTGGATTTGTTTGTGGCATAAAGATGTCTACCAAGCATCCAGAATCAATACTGGTACTATATGTAACTTGAGATATATTTGTTGCAAAAAGGTGTGTTAGAGTCATAGTGCAGGAGTTCCCAACCTGGTGCTCAAGATTGTGAACCCCTGTTATAGAGCACAGTACAGCAGCTATAGCATTGTTCTGTTTGTCACTCTCTGTTACTAGACATCACCAGCAGGAATTCACATACAAATAAAAGTTTATAAGTTTTGTTTATTGTAGAATTGCAGTAATAACAAAAGGACCGAATAAATTTCAGTGTAAAAGAAAAACTAACATATGAGGTACAGGTACTATGAGGTATTGAGTTAACTGGCATCTTTGTGGATGTGTGACCAATGCTGCCACTCGGTGATGGATGAACCCATATGTTTATTTCACGACAGTGATCATTCATAGTACTTCTGTAAAAAAATTAATCACCTTGACAGAACAATGTAGGAAGAGTTTTAAATGTACAAAAGTAAGGTGAAATAAGCGTAGTGATTGCTGTCATTATATAAGCAGCGGCAACATGAACCAAACCCGACCTAACGTAATAAAAACATATTACAGTGTCAGTAGGATAGGATGAGTTGGTTTAGTGTTGTAATACAGTAAATGGTTTATGCTCGCCTTGCTCAGTGATCTTAAAGTACAGTACAGTGGGGTATGCTATAACGAACGTAATTGGTTCCAGAACCTCATTCGTTATAGGATTAATCCGTTCCAGGCCCCCAAATACAACCACTTAACACTGAAAAAATTCTGTGGAAAATGTAAAAAATACCGTACTTTATCTTACCTTAGTGTTATTCAGCATGCAGGTACCCCTAAACACTGGCACATCACTATCACTTCCACTGGGAGTCTTGGCTTTAAGGTCCTCAAACAATTGTCTTGCCTTCTCACAAATTATAGCTTCACTAATGTTACCACCTGCCATTTCTTTCTCCTTTATCCACACTAAGAGTAAATTTTCCATCTCTTCAATCACATTACACTTTGCTTTGCTAATTCTAAAGATTCCCTTAGCCACTTGCACAGTTTTTAACTCCTCTTTATTCTTCAAAATCGTACATATAGTCGATTTAGCCATCCCATACTCATCACTAAGTTTCGCAGTGCTTCTTCCATTCTCACGTTTCTTTATAATTTCTTTCTTAGTTTCAAGGGTTATTAGCTTTCTCACTCGCTTTGGACGACTCATTGTTACAATTGTATACTTGTATAACAGAATAGTTATACAAATAACGCGAATTTCCACATCAAAAGACGAAATTTCAACAATAACAGTGGTGCACTGGCTACACAATGAGACAAAGATGGCGCCTGACGCTCTTGTTGTGGGTCGCGGTACAACAATATTCATGCGCCAGGCGAAATAGTCCCGTATTCATCCGTGTTCGTTGTAGGAGTTGCGTTCGTTATAGCATTCTCAATTTTATAGGTAAAACCGTTCGTTATAGGAATATTCGTAGTAGGATCCGTTCGTTATAGCATACCCCACTGTATGTCTATTTCACCTTTTTTCATACATTGAGAATCTTTGCATCATTTAACAAGGTAATTGGTATTTTTGTTTTGTTTTTCCAAGTACAGGTAGTGATTATTTTTTTCCCCAAGGAATTATTATTTTTTTTAAGTAGTGATTTTGTTTTATAAGTAATGGTCACTGTGTGGAAATTCAGCCTAATAGCCATGCATAGCTAAACTGGATCACAATGTACCTTGGGACTTTTGGCAAATAAATGCTTCATGGTTTCGAGAATAGTGTAGGAGAGGAGAGGCCATCAGGGGTTGTGTGACTGTTGAGAACCACTACTACTTTATGATATCTAATTTTGTACTGTACTCTTCTGTATTGTATATGTGAGATTCATCTATATGCACAGTAAAGGATCTCCCACATTTATACTGTACTGGTAACCTCTTGTGTGGCTTCTCATCCGATGAAGATCGAATTAAGGAAACTTTATTCTCATGATATTTGTGAGATATTGTAGTTGTTTTATGCAAATTCTCGATTATTAATTTTTCTTGTAATGGTAAAGATGAATGTAATTTTTCCCATATGTGTAGAGTATTTTATTTCTTTATTTTTTATCGTCTCTTTACAAAGTTATTTTCAGGCTCTTATTTTTTATGTTCTGTAATTTTGCACTAATATGATCCAGGGTAATTAAGTCTTGATTGTGTGAGTTACCAGTGAGTGACCAGGTTTTCCAGGTAAGATTTAACCCCTGGCTGTTTGTATGTCATAATTTTAAGTTTCAGTTAAGATTTTATTTTATTAAGAACTCAAGACACTGTAATAATTTAATAAATTGTTTTAAAATTTATGTTATGAGAGTGGTGTCATATTTTAAAAATGTATTGGGAAATTTTTGATGAAATAATTGAAGTATGTTGAGAGATAGAGCTTTACAAAATAGTCCAGAGGGAGAAAGAATTGAGTATTAAAAACAGAAAGAAAATCAAAAGCAATGCTAAGTAATAAGTTTTGTAAGGCATTGTGTTTTGATGAAATAATGGGATCTGTGTCAAGGTGTTAACTGATTCCTTGTAAAGATGTGAAGAGTATCAGTGATGGAAATAGGTTTTAGGAACTAGCTTGGAGGATGAGGGAAGGAAAAAAGCAAACATGAATAGGTGTGAAAAAGTCTACATTTTTAGTTTGATTTTTTTTTTTTTTTTTTAGAAAAGATACCACATTATACTCTATATGTACAAAGACAATTAATTGACATCCCTCAATTTAATAATACTGTAGTTAATAATTATTCTTTAGTGAGCAAATACAGTACAGTGTAACAGGAACTTAAGTGTACTGTATTGTATATTTGTACCCTATTTCTATCCCTAGAGGGCAAAGGGAGGATGTCCAAAGAGAGGGATTGAGTCACAAGAAAAAATAAATAGAACTTTCAATAGGGAGATGAGGATTGTGATGGATAGGTATATGAGCCAGTTTGTATATTATAGCACTAAGTCATGGGGTAAAAACACGTAGATATCAGTGGCTGGAAGTGATTCATTAATTAGGTGTATTTTTCTTATAACTTGTAAGAGAAAACAGTTACCAGTTAAGGTAAAAAGCAGAGAGTCATGACATCATGTCTGTAGGTACACAGAGTTACTTGTGGCCGGTAGGTGAGGTGGCTGTTATAGATTCAGTCCAATTAGTTCAAGTTATAACTCCATGTTTGGGTGACTCTCTAGTACTCTGAAATTATACCTTAGAGATATTATGCCTTAATATCCATACACTTTTAAAATACAGTATAGTACCATATATATACTACTGTACTGGACTGTATATCAGAATTTAGTTTGTCATTCAAGGTTCCACTGTGATATGGTGTTGAGTGTGTCCATTAACCCCACCCGGCCACCTGGTCTTACTGTACTGCCATGCATATAAGTACATCATGTAGCAATTACCGTAATTATCTGTACGTATAGTATGACTGCTGTTTAACCCAGCACTGTAGACACTGCTGTTTAACCCAGCACTGTAGACACTGCTCTTTAACCCAGCACTGTAGACACCGCTGTTTAACCCAGTACTGTAGACACCAAATAGTAAAAGTGTTGCTAACATTATTATTATGAGATTACAGTATGTTGATCACTGCTGTAAATATCTATAAACATACAGTACTTAAATCATTCGACTTTTTTGTAATATAAAGTAATGACATATAACTTATTATAAGCCTTCTAAGTTTCTCCAGGGCTGTAATTTAACCTAGAACATTTTTGCCAGAGTATTGAGCTGCTTCACGTTCTCTGAATGTGAGCACCGCTACTGACCTGTGTAGGCATGACTCGAGCATCTGAGGCATGATGACTTTTCTGAAGATTCTTTTGAGTCTCCTGAGGAATCTTTGAGTATCCTGAGGAATCTTTGAGTCTCTTAAGGATCGTTTAGACTTAATTCTTCAAGAGACACTGGATTTTCAATTAGACTTTGGTCACCCTGATGTCCTGCATAACACTGTCGAGGTTGTAGGGACAGAAATTGTGGAGTTTGTTCGACAATTTTCTTTCTTCCCGCTGTAACAAACATGAAAGTAGAGGTAAACTCCCTTAGTCGGGTGCAATGTCAATCTGGTATATTAGAAGTTGGGGCATTTAATTTTTGTGATATAAGTTAATGTACACCTGCCTCCTCTTCCTCCTATGATCTGGTTGACTTCAGACGCATGAGACTGTGAGGGATGGCCGTGTCATAACATAAGGATTGGCCATAAAATCCCACTTTATAACAGAGCCCATAGTGAATTGGGTACCTTTCCTCCTTCAACAGGGTAGCATGGAAGTTAGCTAGAACTGGAGGGATTGAGTGTGTAATCTAGTTGACAGGCTCAGTGTGCAGGTTTTGTTGTGACGTCACGACTCTTTACTTTATACCTTGAATGATGACTGATGTTTATATAGAGTATAATATCAGGGACATAGTTATGAATCTAAAATATAAATAATTGATAAGTTACTCCTAGCCTCCAGTGTCTAAGGGTGGAGTTAGGTTTTCAACTTATGAACTTACTGCTGTGATATGTGAGTCAGTCCAGGCTAAGTCAGAAAATGGGATTTCAGGTACAGTATATATTTTTTTAATCTTGTGTGGTAATTTAAGAATTCTTTTAGTTTTTCACATTAGGGAGAATTTGTTTATGTAAAATAAGTTATATAAATAGGAATATTTAAACCCGGCTTGCAAAAGTAAATATTCTTATTAAAAAAATTAAAGAAATTTCAAAAAGTTAATGTTTGCACTATCATCTCCTTATCATTGTCAACATCATCATCATATTCATCTTTTTTCAGCATCAACAAATTTTAGTTACCACTGTCACCATCATGTACAGTGTCTCCGTGGAGTATACTGTACATTGATATTTCTTTATTGTTTTTGGTAGCAGCTATCTCCACGTGGGCTTCAGATGCTAGATTCTTCAGCGCGTCTTAAAACATTTGCTGAAAGAGTTGACGTGACCAGCACAAAAAAGGAAATGGGTATCAAATGCCTTCCTTGATATTTATGTTTACAGTTTTTAATTATCGACTTTATACTCGTGGAAATTATACACAAGAAACTAAAGTAAATTTCTTTATAACTCACTCATGACAATTGAAAGAAAGTGAATTAAGTTTTGTTGCTGTGTGAATCTTTATTTTTTTACATTGGTGAAATTAGTCGATTCATTTTAATGTACTGTACTAAGGTTTTTTTCTCCGTTCACTTCCCCTGTAACATGTTCACACTATCTTTACATACAGTACTGTGCTGTTGTTTCATGTGTGTGTGTCTCTCTCAGCATTGTTTTATTTCTCACATTTTCCTCAACTTACATGTTTACTTTATCAAATTTCTTGTTTTTTTAAGACATTTTATAATAAGTTTACTGAATTGATTTTGATACCGGGTATCTCTCGTTTTATTCCCACATTTTCCAAGTGGACAAAATCTTAATAGTAGGCCATTGTTTTTTGTTTGTTTTGTTACGGTACACAGGACGTGGAATATGAACTTCCACTCAATCAGTACAAGTGGTGTTTCTCACTAGCTGGATCTTGGATGAATGAGTTTCTTGTTTTTAATATATCTGATCACTTGATACTTGTACTTAAGAGTTTAGTTAGTCCAGGTGTAAGTAGTGAAGGGAGTTGTAGATGAAGGTAGAGATGGATATAGTAATTAAGGCAGTTTGGGTGGAGGAATGCTGAAAGGTTTGTGTACGGGCATGACAGTTTACCGCACAAAGTGAATGAGATATTTAATTAATCTTGTTTATGCCATCATTTATATTTTATGGCCTATAGATAATTCAATAAATGAAATGCAAGTTCACCCATCAGATTCACCCACTGTCACAGACTCTCTCATCCAAAGGGCTACAGGTATAAGTATTTTGAGCCAGGGTTATTGTCCATTCAGATTAGTCCATATTTTGTAAACAGTCACTCTCCCAGTTGAACCAGTGTTTATAAGGAAGTTAGTAGGAACACCTAGATAAATTCTGAACTAGTTTACTTGGCTTGGATCTCTCAGAAGTTAATTTAGTTCACATAATATTTTTTCCTGCCTGGACACTCTGACAATACTGTATATGTCTGTGTTCCACTGCATTCCTCATGAAAATCAAACCAAGAAATGTTGGGGAGTTTTTAGTCAAAGTATGGCAGCTTTTTTATTTGGAATTCTTGTGTTAATATGTCAATGATTTGGTTCGTTGTATTCTTTTGCTAACATTTCAACCACTGTACATAATTTTAATCATTAAAACCTTTTTTATTTTTGTATAATACAGTATACAAATTCTTTTATTGAATATTTCTAAAGAAAAATTGATGATATTTGGTGAACATACAAATATTTACCATGCTGTTTTATGTTAGAGCTAATTCTTTATTATTTGCAAATTTAGGCTTTGCGTTTTAATTATTTATGTTAACCTGCATTTAGCATGAATGGTCGAGGTTGATAGTTTAACATAAATGGTCGAGGTTGAGAGTTTAACATGAATGGTCAAGGTCAAGAGTTTAGCATGAATGGTCGAGGTCGAGAGTTTAGCATGAATGGTCAAGGTCAAGAGTTTAGCATGAATGGTCAAGGATGAGAGTTTAGCATGAATGGTCGAGGTCAAGAGTTCAGGATGAATGGTCAAGGTTGAGAGTTTAGCATGAATGGTCGAGGTCAAGTGTTTAGCATGAATGGTCGAGGTCAAGAGTTTAGCATGAATGGTCAAGGATGAGAGTTTAGCATGAATGGTCGAGGTCAAGTGTTTAGCATGAATGATCAAGGTTGAGAGTTTAGCATGAATGGTCGAGGTCAAGAGTTTAGCATGAATGGTCAAGGATGAGAGTTTAGCATGAATGATCAAGGTTGAGAGTTTAGCATGAATGGTCGAGGTCAAGAGTTTAGCATGAATGGTCAAGGTTGAGAGTTTAGCATGAATGGTCGAGGTCAAGAGTTTAGCATGAATGGTCAAGGTTGAGAGTTTAGCATGAATGGTCAAGGTTGAGAGTTTAGCATGAATGGTCAAGGTTGAGAGTTTAGCATGAATGGTCAAGGTTGAGAGTTTAGCATGAATGGTCAAGGTTGAGAGTTCAGCATGAATGGTCAAGGTTGAGAGTTAGCATGAATGGTCAAGGTTGAGAGTTAGCATGAATGGTCAAGGTTGAGAGTTTAGCATGAATGGTCAAGGTTGAGAGTTTAGCATGAATGGTCAAGGTTGAGAGTTTAGCATGAATGGTCAAGTCAAGAGTTTAGCATGAATGGTCAAGGTTGAGAGTTTAGCATGAATGGTCAAGAGAGTTTAGCATGAATGGTCGAGGTTGAGAGTTTAGCATGAATGGTCAAGTCAAGAGTTTAGCATGAATGGTCGAGGTCAAGAGTTTAGCATGAATGGTCGAGGTCAAGAGTTTAGCATGAATGGTCGAGGTCAAGAGTTTAGCATGAATGGTGAGGTCAAGAGTTTAGCATGAATGGTCAAGGTTGAGAGTTTAGCATGAATGGTGAGGTCAAGAGTTTAGCATGAATGGTCAAGGTCAAGAGTTTAGCATGAATGGTCGTCAAGAGTTTAGCATGAATGGTCGAGGTTGAGAGTTTAGCATGAATGGTCGAAGTCAAGAGTTTAGCATGAATGGTCGAGGTCAAGAGTATAGCATGAATGGTCGAGGTCAAGAGTTTAGCATGAATGGTCGAAGTCAAGAGTTTAGCATGAATGGTCGAGGTCAAGAGTTTAGCATGAATGGTCAAGGATGAGAGTTTAGCATGAATGGACAAGGTTGAGAGTTTAGCATGAATGGTCAAGGTTGAGAGTTTAGCATTGGTCAAGGATGAGAGTTTAGCATTGGACAAGGTTGAGAGTTTAGCATGTTGTCAAGAGTTTAGCATGAATGGAAGGTTGAGAGTTTAGCATGAATGGTCAAGAGTTGAAGATGAGAGTTTAGCATGAATCAAGGTTGAGAGTTTAGCGTTGAATGGTCGAGGTCAAGAGTTTAGCATGAATGGTCAAGGTTGAGAGTTTAGCATGAATGGTCAGTTTAGCAGAATTTAGCATGAATGGTCAAAGATGAGAGTTTAGCATGAATGGACAGGTTGAGAGTTTAGCATGAATGGTCGAGGTCAAGAGTTTAGCATGAATGGTCAAGGTTGAGAGTTTAGCATGAATGGTCGAAGTCAAGAGTTTAGCATGAATGGTCGAGGTTGAGAGTTTAGCATGAAGGTCGAGAGCTGAGAGTTTAGCATGAATGGTCAAGGTCAAGAGTTTAGCATGAATGGTCGAGGTCAAGAGTTTAGCATGAATGGTCAAGGTCAAGAGTTTAGCATGAATGGTCGAAGTCAAGAGTTTAGCATGAATGGTCGAGGTTGAGAGTTTAGCATGAATGGTCAAGGTTGAGAGTTTAGCATGAATGGTCGAGGTTGAGAGTTTAGCATGAATGGTCAAGTTTGAGAGTTTAGCATGAATGGTTGAGGTCAAGAACATTGCGACTGAAAAACAAAAGAAACGGGAGTAAAACCGTGACAAAAACCTAATTATTAGATAGTAATATTATACACATCATGGCAGCAGTCATATAAATGTTATTGTCGAGATTATATAACATAAGGGAAAAGTTCAGTGATGTGCTGTTTTACTAAGGTTGGGGGAGCAATAAGCGAGATACAGTACTACAGGGGTAACAGTCGGACAGTTTACGCCGTGCAATAAATCAATTAATTCTTCATCTCGTGACTTCAGAATGTCTCACTTTACTCATTATTTCCTCTTGCCATATTCAGTACAAAACCTTCGACTGATCGGAAGTTATATATTTGTCACAGAAATACGTTTGTTTCTTTAAGGAAATTTATTTATGTTTTTTACTTTGTTAAAATGTTTATATTGTATTATTAAAGAGATTTATTTGATTTTGTTTTAATTTTATGATTTTGTGATATAGTTTTGGAGCATTTATTAGTTATTGTATTTTTTTAGTAGTTATTTCTTCCCGGGAGTCATTTACCTGATGTCTTATGTGTGTTGGGAGTCTTAGTATTTTTTTAATACAGGATTTATTATTAATTTTAGTGATAAATAAGATCAAAGGAATATTTATGAATTGGAGTAAATATTTGTGTTTGTTTCTTTATAGTTCATGTGAAGTGAGTTGTATTTTTGTTTTATTTTTATTATATATGTTTGTGTACTTTATTGAATAAGTTTTTTATCTGTTCTAAAATGTGATAAGATGCTCACGAACAAGTTTAACTGAGATAGATGCACTTGTTAATAAAACCTGTATTTGATTATTATTTTAGTTGGCTTACTAAAGGCTGCTAAGGTTTGATGGTAAAATTGAATAAGAAAATTTGGTACAGTATTATAACGGAGATGATGAATCACTTATCCAATGATTATTGCATTGCAATTACATATTTGCTTTATTAAAAATTATTAATAAAATATAAGCTTGAAATTATTTGTGTATTGTATTTCCTGTGTTTGGGAAGATAACTCAATACTGTTAAAAATATGAGGTTGGGAACTCTCTTATGGTTAAAGACTGCAGATGACTTGGTTCTTGCTTCCAGTGCACATCTCTCTCATGACAGGGCAAGTCTTAGCATTAATAAGATGGAAATAGTGATGCTGATCATTCCGGTTTACTCGATCAGTCTTTTATTGAAGCCTGAAGATGTCCCTTGTACTCTCCCAGTCATATATGAAGCCTGAAGATGTTCCTTGTACTCTCCCAGTCATATATGAAGCCTGAAGATGTCCCTTGTACTCTCCCAGTCATATATGAAGCCTGAAGATGTTCCTTGTACTCTCCCAGTCATATATGAAGCCTGAAGATGTTCCTTGTACTCTCCCAGTCATATATGAAGCCTGAAGATGTTCCTTGTACTCTCCCAGTCATATATGAAGCCTGAAGATGTTCCTTGTACTCTCCCAGTCATATATATGAAGCCTGAAGATGTTCCTTGTACTCTCCCAGTCATATATGAAGCCTGAAGATGTCCCTTGTACTCTCCCAGTCATATATGAAGCCTGAAGATGTTCCTTGTACTCTCCCAGTCATATATGAAGCCTGAAGATGTTCCTTGTACTCTCCCAGTCATATATGAAGCCTGAAGATGTTCCTTGTACTCTCCCAGTCATATATGAAGCCTGAAGATGTTCCTTGTACTCTCCCAGTCATATATGAAGCCTGAAGATGTCCCTTGTACTCTCCCAGTCATATATGAAGCCTGAAGATGTCCCTTGTACTCTCCCAGTCATATATGAAGCCTGAAGATGTTCCTTGTACTCTCCCAGTCATATATGAAGCCTGAAGATGTTCCTTGTACTCTCCCAGTCATATATGAAGCCTGAAGATGTCCCTTGTACTCTCCCAGTGTGAGCCCCAGTCATATATGAAGCCTGAAGATGTCCCTTGTACTCTCCCAGTCATATATGAAGCCTGAAGATGTTCTTGTACTCTCCCAGTCATATATGAAGCCTGAAGATGTCCCTTGTACTCTCCCAGTCATATATAGCCGAAGAATGTTCCCAGTCTTATATGAAGCCTGAAGATGTCCTTGTACTCTCCCAGTCATATATGAAGCCTGAAGATGTCCCTTGTCCTGGCAGTCATATATGAAGCCTGAAGATGTCCCTGGTACTCTCCCATATATGAAGCCTGAAGATGTTCATGTGCTCTCCCAGTCATATATGAAGCCTGAGAGAATGTTCCTTGTACTCTCCCAGTCATATATAAACCTGAAAGATGTCCCTTATTACTCTCCCAGTCATATATGAAGCCTGAAGATGTCCTTGTACTCTCCCAGTCATATATGAAGCCTGAAGATGTCCCTTGTACTCTCCCAGTCATATATGAAGCCTGAAGATGTTCCTTGTACTCTCCCAGTCATATATGAAGCCTGAAGATGTCCCTTGTACTCTCCCAGTCATATATGAAGCCTGAAGATGTCCCTGGTACTCTCCCAGCTCAGTTTTAGGCCGCATCACACAAGTACTAATAGGTTAAAAAAAAATTAAACACACAGTTTATTAGTCAAGGTAAATATGTGCAGTATTGATGGCTTTTCGTATGTGAGTTGAGAGTTAGTATTGATCATGAGGGAAAGTGGAGCAGTTTCTACCTGATTGTGGTCTTTTGTTGAGGGTGATTTTGCAGTTTATTTATTAACACATAATTATCATCATCACCCAAGAGGAACAAGGTAATGATTTGAAGACTAAAATGTCACACTTTAAATTGGGTGAGAGATACGAGCCACATGTGTTATTAACATTCCCTCCCCTTCGCCACACTCCATCCCATCCCCTTACCTCTTCCAACATCCCCTAGCCCTATCCTCACCCACCCAATCCCCTGAACCACAACACCGAGACACTGAAACATATGCTGGAATCTCTTCTGGCTTCTGAGAGACGATCTGATCATATTCAAGAACTATAGATCCTTTGATATTATAGAGACAAAACAAATGGAATTTACATCCTTTCGGTTTATATGAAGACTGATGCCTTTCTTGACTCGGTCGCACCATGAGGTAGATCGGTAGATGCTGAGGTAGAGTGAAGCATACAGGTTAGGTTAGGTTAGGTTAGGTTTTCTGTTTCCTGCAGGTTGGGTAGTGAGTGCTGGTGGTGACCTAGTGCTTGACCCCACCAATGACCAAGTTCCTGACCTCCCCCCCCCGCCCCAGTTCCCTGTAATTGACCTAGTTCTCTACCTAACCAATGACCTATTGTCTGTGAGCGAGTCGTTAATACCAGGATCTCGTTTCCTTGACCTGTGCTCCTGACCTTTCCCAACACCAAGGGGGGGTCGAGAATGAGTAATTGAAGGGACAGGGGATGGAGGAGTATGTTGGCAGGACAGAGGAGGGTGGAGGGACAGGGAGGAGGAGAGGAGGAGAGACAGAGAGCTCTTCACCGGATAACACGCGGCATTTGGCTATAATTGATGACTTCTACCTGGACTAGTGAGGAGGCTGTTTGAGCTAGAGAGTCTTAAGAGTCTCATCCACAACACACAGGAACTCCCTTCTTCAGGCAACACTCAATAACAGTCAATAGCTCGTCAGGTAGAAAGAGAGGTATTTGTCGTCACGGGTCTATCACGCACTGACATTTCCACAAGGACGGAAATAATTCACGAGGCCTGGCTGACTTGTGTGAGATGCGGTGGATGAGGAAGAGGAGGAAGGGGATGGGAGGGAGGGGGAAGAGGAAGAGGAGGGAGGGATGAGGAAGAGAGGAGGGGATGAGGGAAGAGGAGGGAGGATGAGGAAGAGGAGGGGGAGGGTGATGGGAAAGAGGAAGGAGGGGAATGAGGGAAGGAGGGAGGGGGATGAGGAAGAGAGGAGGAGGGGGAAGAGGAAGAGGGGGGGGGAAGAGGAAGAGGAGGAGGGGGATGAGGGAAGAGGAGGGAGGGGAGGAAGAGGAGGGAGGGGGAAGAGGAAGAGGGAGGGAGGGGGGGATGGGAGGAAGAGGTGAGGGAAGAGGGAGGAGGGGGAGGGAGGAAGAAGAGGAGGAGAGGGGAAGAGGAAGAGGAGGGAGGGGGGATGAGGAAGAGGAGGGGAGGGGGATGAGGAAGAGGGAGGGAGGGGGAAGAGGAGGAGAGGAGGGAGGGGATGAGGAAGAGGAGGGAGGGGGGGGAGAAGAGGAGGGAGGGGAAGAGGAAGAGAGGGAGGGGGATGAGGAAGAGGAGGGAGGGAAGAGGAGGAGGAGGAGGGAGGAAGAGGGAAGAGGAGGGAGGAGATGAGGAAAGAGGAGGGAGGGAAGAGGGAGGGGAGGAGGGAGGAGGAAGAGGAAGAGGGAGGAGGGGAAGGAAGGGGGATGGGGAAGAGGAGGGGGATGAGGAAGAGGAGGAGGGGATGAGGAGAGGGAGGGAGGAGGAAGAGGAAGAGGAGGGAGGAGATGAGGAAGAGGAGAGTGGAAGAGGAGGAGGAGGGAGGAGGAAGAGGAGGGAGGGGGATGAGGAAGAGGAGGGAGTGGAAGAGGAGGAGGAGGGAGAGAATTGTTTGGAAGGGTAGTTATTAAATGGATGGTTGAGGAGAAGAAGGATGGATGATTGAATAGGAGGATGGTTGGGTGAGGATGGGTGGTTAAAGATGACGGTAGAGAAAGAGGAACCACCCACAGCTGTGTTAGTGTGTTTAACATTTGGGGAGTGAAGTATTTAGAGGGGGGGGGGGAGAGAGAAGGGTAGCTCACGGACAAAGGAAGAGAGATACGGAGGTGAGAGAAAGAGAGATAAACAAGAGGTTTTTTTTTAGTTTAACAAATTTATTGACAAAGCTTGTAGTACAGTTTGCCTATTTTGAGTAATTCAGTCAGGTCTTGACACTGACCTGACTGAATTACTCAGAATAGGCAAACTGTACTACAAGCTCTGCCAATAAATTTGTTAAACTAAAAAAGGGTGGTATCACTGCTCATTGCCACGCAGGACAGAGGTTCATACACAAAGAAATACATCATATTCATTAACAGTATACAGTATATAGGTCAGATTCATGTGGGTTGTCACTGTTCGAGAGACGAGAGTAAATATTTTTGACTCTTATTCTCAGAGATTCTTAACTGTGAAAAAAAATCATCGTAACTAAAAGACTCAAGTATGTAAACAAAATGACATAAACTAACACACAAAAATAAATTAAAAGATTAATATATAAATGACATCTAGACCTTTAACTAAATTGGTTCATTTATTGTAGCATAAATTTTAGGTAAGAAATCTTGTGGGTAGAATTCCTTGCCTTATATTTTGTCTTTTTGTTGAGGGAATAAATCTAGTTTGATCGAAGGGTTTTATCTAAAGTTTTTAAATTCACTGATAAAACAATACCTCAGGGTCCTAATTCTCTTGTTAATGATATAAACTTAATTGTTTATTTGTTTTGATTGATTTGACTAATATCATATAATCTATTATTTCAGAGAGAAGTTTTAAAACATAACGACGGAGGAAATTACAAAACTTGAACAACAATTAGGATCAGTGTCATAGAATTCACAACAAAAGTTTTCACAGTAAAGGAAATTCCTCAATCCCTGGTGTGTGGGTTAGGTTAGGTTAGGTTAGGTTAGGTTAGGTTAGGTTAGGTTAGGAAAACCTTGATTATAGCAGACCAATGTACCACAGTCGATCATTAAGCACTGAGGTTGACGTTGCATGTGGAATGGTTGGAATGTTTAATGCTTCTACCAGCACTCAGTTACATCATTTGGTGAGTGGATTCATTATTGGAACTCTTGAATCAAAGGTGAAATCCATCCCGGTAAATGGTCTCGATTTTCTGAATATATATTTTTTTATTTACCATATTACCTAACCTAACCTAACCACCTTCTTTAGATCCGACCCCAAGTGGCTATTTCGATGTGGTTTGAGGTGTAGTTGGAAGACCTGATATTATAGTGTGTTTGAAGGAAGACTAGACTGAGTGTATTGAAATCAGGGGAAAGTATAATAGAAAGTGACTGATTGAAGAATAGGTGGGTGTAGTGACTGACGGAGGAAGAAGGAAAAAGAGAATTGATAATATATGAAAATACCACAGAAAAGGAAAACAAATACGAATTAGAGAGTTAGAGACAGAAAGAGAAGGGGGAAATCAAAGACAGTACATGAAATCGAAGGATATTGAACACACACACGGTAGAGACGATGGTTGAAGGTCCAGCCAGCCAAGAACCAGGCCGGGGTAGACAAGCTCACTGGTGATGTAAATGTGAGGAGGCGGAGTCATCTCTCGCTGCCAGATGACGAAGGCTCCATTGCTCCTCTCCATCACCACAGCATCTTGATTGTTATAAACGTCTTTGATTCACTGTTGATGATGATATCTTCTTGGAGTAATGTTATTCTTTAAGTTTGTGATAGTTAAGGGTAGTTTTGCTGAAGTAATGAGTATATTCATCTTCTGTGTTTTGCTAAGATGTGATTCTGTGTGGAAAAAGATTATTATTCTTGTTGTTTGTTTATTCCATCCTCTTGTATTGTTTCAGTTATCAGTTATCATTAATCTTAGACATACGAAGGATATATATTTATTCTAGATAATAAATGTACATATTATCATAAGAATAACAATAAATGGCAACTGGCAGGAGGCGGGGGCAGGAGAAGATGGCGGCCGGGGGGGACAAGCCAGTGTGACCCGGAGACTGAGGCGTGGACGACGACGGTGGTGGTGTGTGTGTCTCTCTCTCTCTCCCTGTCAACTATCTACCAGTTTCTCTCACCTCCTTCCATCTCCTCCCCTAGAATCCCGGATCTTACAAGGATCACCGGCCGTGGAATCCTTCAAGGACATTAAATACAGGTGTGTGTGTGTTTGTATATTCATTATGTCATAGTTTGGTGTCAGGATGTCACCTGGGTATACTGTACGGAGTGTCATCAATTACCTGGAAAATGGTGCATAATGTATTGCTGTCATCGGAGTTAATCTTGTAATATTTTTGGTTCATTTTAGTAATTCTGCTGAGGTGAGGTGGTCCCCGTGGTGAGGTGGTTCCCGTGGTGAGGTGGTCCCTGTGGTGAGGTGGTCCCTGTGGTGAGGTGGTCCCTGTGGTGAGGTGGTCCCCGTGGTGAGGTGGTCCCTGTGGTGAGGTGGTCCCCCCCGTGGTGAGGTGGTCCCTGTGGTGAGGTGGTCCCTGTGGTGAGGTGGTCCCGTGGTGAGGTGGTCCCCGTGGTGAGGTGGTCCCTGTGGTGAGGTGTCCCCGTGGTGAGGTGGTCCCCGTGGTGAGGTGGTCCCTGTGGTGAGGTGGTCCCCGTGGTGAGGTGGTCCCCTGTGGTGAGGTGGTCCCTGTAGTGAGGTGGTCCCTGTGGTGAAGTGGTCCCTGTGGTGAGGTGGTCCCCTGTGGTGAGGTGGGTCCCCGTGGTGAGGTGGTCCCTGTGGTGAGGTGGTCCCCGTGGTGAGGTGGTCCCCGTGGTGAGGTGGTCCCTGTGGTGAGGTGGTCCCCCCTGTGGTGAGGTGGTCCCCGTGGTGAGGTGGTCCCTGTGGCGAGGTGGTCCCTGTGGTGAGGTGGTCCCCGTGGTGAGGTGGTCCCTGTGGTGAGGTGGTCCCCTGTGGTGAGGTGGTTCCCGTGGTGAGGTGGTCCCTGTGGCGAGGTGGTCCCTGTGGTGAGGTGGTCCCTGTGGTGAGATGGTCCCGTGAGGTGGTCCCCGTGGTGAGGTGGTCCCTGTGGTGAGGTGGTCCCGTGGTGAGGTGGTCCCTGGTGGTGAAGTGGTCCCTGTGGTGAGGTGGTCCCTGTGGTGAAGTGGTCCCTGTGGTGTGGTGAGGTGGTCCCCGTGGTGAGGTGGTCCCTGTGGTGAGGTGGTCCCCCCCGTGGTGAGGTGGTCCCTGTGGTGAGGTGGTCCCCGTGGTGAGGTGGTCCCCGTGGTGAGGTGGTCCCCGTGGTGAGGTGGTCCCCGTGGTGAGGAGGTCCCGTGGTCGTGGTCCCCTGTGGTGGTCCCCTGTGGTGAGGAGGTCCCCGTGGTGAGGTGGTCCCTGTGGTGAGGTGGTCCCCGTGGTGAGGAGGTCCCCGTGGTGAGGTGGTCCCCGTGGTGAGGAGGTCCCTGTGGTCAGGTGGTCCCCGTGGTCAGGTAGTCCCTGTGGTCAGGTTTATTTGAGGACCTGGTGGTTTATTTGAGGATCTGATGTTTTATATAAGGACCTGGTGGTTTATATAAGGACCTGGTGGTTTATTTGAGGACCTTTTGGTTTATATAAGGACCCGATGGTTTATATAAGAACCTGGTGGTTTATTTGAGGATCTGATGTTTTATATAAGGACCTGGTGGTTTATATAAGGACCTGGTGGTTTATTTGAGGACATTGTGGTTTATATAAGGACCCGATGGTTTATATAAGGACCTGGTGGTTTATATGAGGACCCGATGGTTTATATAAGGACCCGATGGTTTATTTGAGGACCTGGTGGTTTGTTTGAGGACCTGATGGTTTATATAAGGACCCGATGGTTTATATAAGGACCCGATGGTTTATATGAGGACCTGGTGGTTTATTTGAGGACATTGTGGTTTATAGGACCCGATGGTTTGATGGTTATATGACCTTGACGTGGTTTATACCCGACCCGATGGTTTATAGGCGACCCGATGGTTAAGGAGGATGGTGACCTGGTGGTTTATATATATATGCGCCCGATGGTTTATAAGGACCCGATGGTTTGTTTGAGGACCTGATGGTTTATATATGACCCGATGGTTTATATACGACCCGGTGGTTTATATATGGACCCGGTGGTTTATATGGGCGACCCGATGGTTTATTTGAGGACCTGGTGGTTTATATATGACCCGATGGTTTATATAAGGACCCGATGGTTTGTTTGAGGACCTGATGGTTTATAAGGACCCGATGGTTTATATATGACCTGGTGGTTTATTTGAGGACCTGATGGTTTATATGAGGACCTGATGGTTTATTTGAGACCTGATGGTTTATTTGAGGATCTGATGGTTTATATGAGGACCCGATGGTTTATATAAGGACCGGATGGTTTATTTGAGGACCTGGTGGTTTATATAAGGACCCGATGGTTTATATAAGGACCCGATGGTGTGTTTGAGGACCTGATGGTTTATATAAGGACCCGATGGTTTATATAAGGACCCGATGGTTTATATAAGGACCCGATGGTTTATATAAGGACCCGATGGTTTATATAAGGACCCGATGGTGTGTTTGAGGACCTGGTGGTTTTTTTGAGGACCTGATGGTTTATTTGATGGCCCGATGGTTTATTTGATGACCTGGTGGTTTATTTGATGACCTGGTGGTTTATTTGATGACCTGGTGGTTTATTTGATGACCCGATGGTTTATTTGATGACCTGGTGGTTTATTTGATGACCTGGTGGTTTCTTTTTGGACCTGGTGGTTTATATGAGGACTTGGTTTGCTAAAATTACCCCAAATAAGAAAATAATCAATACGTTTCATAAAGTAAATATATTTCTGGCATTTTCAGGGATAATTTATTTTATTTGTTCAACGATAAGTCAATTCAGTTGGAAATCTGAACCTGATGGCTTAAATCTTTCCTATTTTCTTTACGTAAGCCGGAATAACAAGTAGTATTTGCTAAAGTACTTGATAACCGAATATATTGTTATAAATTGGTAAGAATATATCCTAATAGCAGAAATATAACGTAAATATATGCAGTTTTTGTTCATAAATACATTATCACAAAGGTAGAAGCACATAGTGGAGCGTGACGCCTACACACGGAAGTTTTTTTCATACTGGCTGAAACTGTAATCGAAACTGATGTATAATTCTATTCTTGGAATTTTACGTAAGATTGATTTTTTTTACAGTATTGAATAAATTATAAGAATTTTTGGAATAAATGATGAAATAAACGATAAGATGTTTTGTATATATTTGTTGGTAGAGCATTGTTAAATCTTGAGATGAAATGGCCACGATGAGACTGAGCTCCCCCACCCTCACTCCCCCGCCCTAACTCGAACCAGCGACGCTAAGACTAAAAAGCAAGCGTTATATCCACTCAGCAGTTGCATTCCTTATTTCTCTGTCAATTGATATTATTCTTTATGAGGTGATTTCAAATTCTTTTTTTTTACTTTTCTTCATAAATAAGTAAAGTGAGCGCCTTATTCCATATTCCTGAGAACGTTAGATACGGGTTCTTGGTTGACTAATGTACCTGTGTAGACCAATGGTGAAAGCTCTTACCTGTGTGGCTATGCTGGGGTCCACACCTGTCTTGTTGGGGGTCAGTTTCGTCCGTGTGTTTGTCTGTGCCTTTACCCCCGAGGAAAACAAAACTATGAAGGGTTAGGATGGTATTACACACACACACATACACACACACACACACACACACACACACACACACACACGCACACACACACACTTTATAGTAATTTATATTATTCGTTATTTATTTAGGTAGTGAAGATTAGGTACCAATATGTTATAGCAAATGATATTCAACTATCAACACTTAAATGCCTCAAAGGGTTAAGTTATCGTACTCATGGTTAAGTTATCGTACTCATGGTTAAGTTATCGTACTCATGGTTAAGTTATCGTGCTCAAGGTTAAGTTATCGTACTCATGGTTAAGTTATCGTACTCAAGGCTAATGTTATCGTACTCAGGAGGTTAGCGCACTTGATGACTCATTGGGAAGTAGAAGTGAAGCACGGGAATCAAAAAGAAGTGAAGCAAGAAATGAGTCAGCGATAGTGAAGCAACAACTGAATAGAAATTGAAACAAGATATAAATCAGCGGAAGTGAAGCAACCGAATAAAAAAGCAAATGAATCAAGAAATGAGTCAACAATAAGCCGAATAAAAAAGCAAATGAATCAAGAAATGAGTCAACAATAGTGTAGCAACAGAATAAAAAAGAAATGAAGCATCTGAGTCAGGTATACAAATCATTACGTTGACATCGTAACGTCGGACAAACAAACCCTCAGAGGATATACAGTGGAGTACAAGGGGACTCACACAGACCGTTTGTGTGTTGCGTAAACATTGCGTGACGAAGGGCAGCAGTTGTGACTTCCTCAGTATTGGGTGATGTCTCGCTTTATCGTGGGTGCGGGGGGTTGGGTAGGAAGGGGGTGAGGTGAGGGGGAGGGGGGTGAGGGGGAGGATGGGGTGATAATGTGTGTGTGTGTGTGTGGAAATATTAATGTGTTTGTTTATGTTCGTGTGTATGTTTTTTTTGTGTTTTTAATCTTCCGTGATTTTTTTTAGGTTTGATTTTAGGTGAAGTTAGGTTAGGTTTGGTTAGGTTAGGTTATATTTTTGGAATCATTAGGAAAAACTACATTTAAAAACATAATATCGTCCAACAAGTTGCGGGTCTAAAACGAATATTGACCCAAAGCTTCAGCCTCCAGCCTTATATTTCCCATAACAGAACAGTGTGTTACTCATCTTATATATCCTGATGGTATTCTGTTGTTAACTAGCTATTATGAACAGTGGAGCATTATGAGTACTAAATGTATTAACTAAGAACTCATATAAACTAATGAAGTCAACACTGGGAAAGGTAGATGTATGATTCATCTCTATCGGTGGGAAATCGAAAGAAATATAGGTTTCTGTTCCTTACATAGTTGTTACAGCACTTAATAGCTGCACAGTACCGGGGTCCCCATTACAGCTGGTATAAAGCAATGAATAAAACAATAGAAAACGTGATTTTGCTGAATTCTTCGTCTTGCATTATTCCTTCCGTGGTAATTATTTTGTTTACCTTCCGGCCGTTTGGTGGTGTCACTTGGGGGGTGAAAGAGTTCGTCTGTGGTGGGAATGATCTCTCCTC